CTGTGACTACTCCCTATGTCAGCTCGAAGATTTAAACCCGTCTTGCAACCTTGCTCTGAATGGACGTTTACCTACCAAAACAGGGTCCCTAAAAATTCCATATAGGGGTCTAGAATCAGAACCTACAAAAACGTAGGTTGCGGCAGTTTAAGGTAGCTGCCCGAAGACCACCCAGGAGTTCCGGCCTCCAAAGCCGAAAAGCAGTAGGGTTTGGGGTTTAATTTTGGGGTCTGGATAGGTCGGAAAGCGTGCATGAGCCGCCAGGACGCTCCTGACGTCGCAGAGTCAGGACAGCGAGTTTTCGTATCACAAGATGCTCACTGCACTCACACTACCCGAAATCATAAACTCCTCAAGCCTTTAAGAACCGAAATTGCCCACACTCGAAGCAACGAACCCTCGCACGAAACTTATCGGAACCTCCCCAACCTGAATAGTTTAAACCCAATTCTCTCTACTCCAAACCTTTGCACCGAAAACAGACAAGCTATCTGTGTGTTGAGTCGGTTCCTGGTTCAGGTTTCGGGTTTAGGGTCTGCGTTACCTCTTTTCAGTTTTCGTTTCGCGTCTGTGGCCACTTGCATCGTTGAAATTTTCAGCACGGCCGCCAGTCACACCACACGTCACTACACCGGCCTATGATGCTCCATGTCACGATCGCGGGCAATCTAAAATACCTAAGCATTCTCGAAGCCCCACAACAGCCTGACAATATAGGGGCCTTTTTAATTACCTGTACTATTTTGGTGGTTCCTTATAATCGTAGTAGTCTAATGGGCCTTAAAACCCCATTCTATATAATTCTTAAGGCCCCTATATTAAAGCTCTGCACAAGACGCTACATGCAAGTCTGACAGCTGCAGGAAAAGCTCGGGTGTGCTGAAGCGGAGAAGGCGGTGGGCGGTGCCCTAAGCCCTAAATCTTAAACCCTAAACCCTACCCTAATGCCTAAACCCCGGTTCTTAAATCTTAAACCCTAAACCCTAAACTAAACCATAAGCCCTAAAGTTTAAACCCTGAGCCCTAATTCTTAAGCCCTAAACCCTGATGGTGCTTCGGAGTTCGTGTCGAAGCTGCTTCAGGGCTTTGGTGCGGCTTTGGGTTTAGGGCTTACAGTAGGGTTCCCAGAGACTCCAATATCCCTAATTAAGGAACATTCCTGAAATCATAGTAGGATCCCTCATATGAACTAAGGAGTATTCCTCAGTCAGGGTATATCGGAGTCTCTGGGTGTAGGTTTCAGGATTTACGACTTGAGGTTTGGCTTAGGAGATACTTTGAACTACCAAGACCAGCTTGAACTACCAAAGTTCACTTTCCTGTAAGCTCCCTGCAAAACTATGTATCAGGGTTGATATTCTAAGAAGCCGAAGCTACAGACAAAGAAGGTTGTGGTAGTTTCTGGTAGGGTTTACAGTATAGTCAGTCCAGGAAAGTTGGAACATATCTCTCGCAGTGTCAGTTGTGTCTGGCTCAGCTCTTTCGGGCTTAGGGTTGAGGGTTTCGAGTTTAGGGCTTAGGGCCGAGGGTTTAGGGTTTGGGGCCAAGGGTTAAGGATTCGGGGTTTAGGGCTTAGGGCTGAGGGTTTAGGCTTTAGGGTGGGGCTTTGCGTTGAAGTTTAGGGTCCTAAAAAACCCTCAGCTCTGATTTTTGACGCCGCCATGAAGCAACCTGAGAAACCTTGTCAACCGATGTAAAGTCGTATAGAGTTTAACTAGAATGTCCAAAGACACAATGAAATGGACATCGACAGCATCCGAACAGACCGCCAACAGCCCTAAGCCTTCTGTCGTGAAGGACTTTTTCCTTTTTTACCGGCCGACCTTTTAAACGCCACCTGGGCATCTCTCTCTAAGAAACACCCTACGCCGCCGCCTCAACAGGCCTTGGGGACATGGGGCTTAAGGTTCAGCTGTAAGTCCTGAGAGCTACGCCCTAAACCCTGTTTTTCCGTACATCTTTAATTACCTCTAGTCTCCATTGTAGTTCTTTTTTGGTGCTACCTTATGGGATCCTTAATATGTAATTGGTTAAGCCAAAAACGGAACTACAATGGAGACTATGGGTAGGCTGCATTGGGCACAGGCACTAGAAGCAGTGCTACGCCAGAGGCGACTCCAGCAACTTGGCCCTCGGATCTAGCACCACACTAGGGGTTCCTTAAAGGGATCTACAGGGGTTCCTTTAAAGGGGTAGGCTTTAGGGTTTGGGGTTTAGGTTGTAGGATTCGGGTTTAGGGTTCGGGGTTGTCGTTTTTTGTAGCATGAAAATGCCAAGAACATGTCGTGGCGACAGGGAGAGCACTTCCCTGCTAGAACCCACGACGCTCTATGCAGGTTTGAGGGTGTGGTTGGCTTGAAGACTTCAGGCTGTAAAAGTAGAGTTTAGGCACCCTGGGCCTCAGGTCTCTGTTTGTTAAGGTGGGTAACCCAGGAACCCCAAGCCCCAAAAAGAGAGTGACGCCTTTGTTTGGTAACGCTAATCCAGCAAACTGCCCACATCCCCTTCTCCACCAATCGAGATCCCAGCGCCCCCAAACGCGCAAAGCTTGAAACGCTAGACTCAAGAGTGGAACCGGAAACCCTTTGAACTTTGCCTAAACCCTACACCCTAAACCCTAAGCCCTAAACCCTCCTAAACCCTTGACCTTAAACCGAAAACCTCGAGCCAAGGCTCTGGGTACTTCGGGCTGAGTTGGTCAGGACGGGCTCCCGCCCCTAAACCCAGAATAGGCCTTGTGGCTGACAGAGGTTTATAAACCTTCAGGAATCCAGCACCTGGCGGCTGTCTGGGAGTGGAGCCCGACAGGTTTAACCGTAAACTGCAGAAACAGGAGGGAGAGAGAGAGAGAGAGAACCAAGGACTCAAGACCATCACTGCTGTATACGGAATATGGTAGGTTCTTTCATTTTTTGCCAAGGCCACAGTTCTTCTAAGTCTTTTCAGGTTGTTAGGGCTTCACGGTGTTAGGGCTTCAGGGAGTTAGGGTTCAGGGTGTTAGGGTCCAGAGCTGAGAAAGTGTAGGCTTCGGTATATCATGGCTTTGGGCTTTTATAGACCTTTGTATTATCCCTATTTCACCAGCGCACGGCAGGCTTCAAGCAGACTAATTACTATAGGGGCCTGAAGATATACCTGTGCTAATTTTGGGGTTCCTTATTAGAAAATTCTAACTATAATGTGCCTGATAACTCTATTCTACTCTCACTATCAAGGCCCCTACATTAGGGTTTCAGGTTTAGGTTTCTTCACGCTCAGCGCCAGGAGCTTTGAAACCTTTGGGAAGATGGATCCTTTCGTCATCGTGGAGCATATGCCCAAAGGCGGGGAATGTCTAAGCACATAATATCACGGTTAAGGGTTTCGGGGTCCCTGCGTAAGACATCTGTATACAGAGATCCTCAGCGCAATGTAAACAGAGCCCATCTCCCAAAGTAAGGTATATCGGTGTGTCCCCTAGTCATGGAGGAAACCTTAATACGATTCGTTCATGCTATACTTTGTTTGAAACCCTATGAAAGCACCATAACATTCCATTAGAGCCTATACGAATCCGCCTAAAGCCTGTTTAACAACCGTTTACAGCTATTAATATTATATAGCTATCAATATTATATAAGGTGATTGAAGCCAAGTCAAAACTGCATACGGCCCGTGGGATTGACTGCCCGGCTTTGATACGGCAACAACCATGTTCTCAGTAGGGTTTGTTCAGGGTGCCCAAAAGGGATGTATAACGGTTTCCAACGGACTTCAACCAGAATCCTAAACCCTTTCTTGGTCCTTCTGCAGTAAGCCTCAGAGGCCTAGAGGCCCCGACGAGTATTGACTTTGTTGATTAGGGTTCTTCATGTAACAACAGAACAAATACCCCAAAACACCCTGGTCTGATACCCTCCTTCATAAGTCTTGGCGGAAATGTCGCTCCAGCCAATGTCATTCTGACTGGAATGTGCTTCATGAAGGCGTGGGCCCAGGTGTGGAAGGAGGCACATGTTGCCGCCACCGAGAAAGGCAGTTGCACATCCAGCCTTTTCGTGCAGTATGTGACGCTGTGGGCGGACTACTGCCGCAATGAGCTGCAAGTCCCGGACACACAGGCGCGCTTGTCCTCATCGCCGATTCAGGCCTCGGCAGCCTGATACATCTCAGTGTCAACCTGGCACTTGTTTGTTCCGCCAAGAATGTACGACTCTTCCTATTGGGTCCGTACCAAACGATGGCAGTCATGCCGTTAGATCAGCAACCCAACAGCGCAGCAGAAAGACGATGGGAGACCATTAGGTCCCAAGGCGGTGTGACTTGACTACGCAGTCAGCTGCATTGGATGCAGCACATCAAGTTTGGACGCACGCGCATACACGCCACAAAAGCGCTAAACCCTATTCTCACGTCCCCCTAAACCTTCCAGCAGTGTGGGCATGTAGACCAGTTCACTGATGAACGGATTTGAAGAAGGACGATCGCCACAGATGGGCGAATCTAATATTGCTGATAATTTCTCTCCTTTTCAGGATGAACTTTGGCGAACTCAGCCAGGTCTGCGACTAGGTGAACAGCATTACCAACCAGCGGAATGCACGGCAAGTCTTGCCAATCACACCTGTTGAGGCAGATTCATCATATCCTTCAGATACGTCGTGTCGCCCCCACGATTCTATTCTAACGGGGTGTAGATGCAAGACAAAGTGCAGCATGCGGGGATTGACGAGTAAAGGTGCAGGAAGTGTTACGAAATAGATGGTTTGGAGAACCCCAAGCCTTGAGCCTTAAGCCCTAAAATCAACGGAAGAGTCAGTCTTGATGCCTAAATCGTAAACTCGCCATAGAATGTAGCAGGGATAGTTCAATCCCAGGTAACTGAGTCCGTGTGAGAGAGAGTTCAATCGCAGCTACCATGCCAACTCTATGGTTCCGGGCTCTTTAGAGTTTGAAGCCTCCCTGGGTTGCGGCTGAAATCTCTCAGAGCCCAGAAGTGAGCTGAAATGTAGGCACATGACATGCTTGGAGCTGCTTGGGGACTCGTCGTGGCATCCAGCAAGCAGAGCGAAGACGAAATGCAGCTCCTGGCATCCCTGTGCCACGGCAACATTGTGTGTTTGCACGATTCGCTGGAGCACGATGAGATGCTGTACATTGTCATGGAGCTCTGCCGCGGGGGGACCCTGTTCAGCTGGATAGAAGACCGACACGACGAGCACTTGAACATGCAGGTGTACACGGCTCCACCTAAGCGTGTTCTTGCAAGCTGCTTGTGGCAGATTCTCGATGCCCTGAAATACCTCCATGGGAAGGGGTTCGTACATCGTGATGTCAAGCTGGAGAACCTTCTCTTGCTGAACGCTGGCCCATGTCCACAGCTGAAGCTTGCAGACTTCGGTATGGCAACGGAGTTTCAGAAAGGAGAGCTGATGACCCAGCGATGCGGCTCCCCGGGCTACATGGCGCCTGAAGTCGTTCGAGGTGGCTACACCGAGCTCTGCGACCTCTGGAGTATGGGGGTGGTGTTCTACCAGATGGCCACAGGCAAGCGGTTGTGGCCTCTCACCTAGACCCATGAGCAGCACTACGACCAAGTTCTGGCAGAGGCAGACACCCTCACGCTGAAGTCCAATGCTTACTGGAGTCGCCTTGGCCTTGGTGCTCTGGAAATGGCGCAGGAGCTGTTGAGCTTGGAGTTCAGCCGGCCGACGGCCGCGTGTGCCATCGAGAACGACTGGTTGCAAAAGCACATGACTGGTGCCGCTGACGGGTGCTGCTCGATCAGCTAATGCAGAATTCTCAATGCTTAGCCGTGCTGGCCGCGCCTACCGTCATAAATACAAGCACGTAAGATTCAAGCCAACTTTGTTCTACTAGCTTCTCATGATGCTAACGGTTTAGGTCGTTTGACCCCGACCCGCTCGGCCGATTCTCCGTCGTTTCTGACATATCACGGGCCCGTGTCCTTGCCGCATCTTGCCGCAGAGGAGACACGATGCTTTGAAGCTGGATTCCCAAAGAGACGAAGATCTGTCCTGCAGCCCCATCTGTTTTCCGAAACCCTATGAATGGTTTTCCATAAACGTATACAGACTTTGTTTCTTGGCGTTGTCCGGCTGTCCCATTTGATTTTGATTCGTCTTGCCTGCTGAAACATACTTGCTTCACGTTGTCGAACGTGATCTCTGCAAGTGCAGTGTTCGGCATTGAGAGCACGACGCGGTACTGTAAGCCGTCAGGCGTTGCAATCTTGTTAGCAATGGTTGTTGCGGATCGAATCCTTCGCATTCTTGCGTAAGTCACACAGATCTGAGATGATTAGACCCTGTTGGTGAATGGTAGACACGGCAGAGAGACATTCTACCGTGCAACAGACCATTGTTCAACTTTTGCGCGAAGGCTGGGTTGCATTGGCAGGTTCTTTTTTCCTGCTTTTGAAAGGACACCGTCAAAATGTAACAACGACTGACCATCACCCTCTTCCTCTTATCCATTCACATTGTACTTGACCTGACTTACCTAGTCAGCCAAGCCTTCGACCACATACCAGATTCTAAATCTGTGCGGATGGCCGAAGCCGTCTCCACGGACATTGAGACTTTTAAAGAACTAAGCATAGACCAGAGTGGGCAACTTATGCCTTTACACTTTGTTGTTGGCCCGGTGCGGCTGACGTTGTTATTGGACAGATCAAACTCCAAATTCGCTCAGCGAATCCAGGCTCGGCTGGCCACGGGGTGCAATCATGGTACATAAGAACATTGGGTTAGATTTTGCTATCTTCCCTTGCCTTGCATCATTTTGCATTCAGCGTTATCCTATCTCATCTTGTCTGACCTTATCGCACCGTATGTTGTATTTCATGGTTTTGCGATATTCTGCTTTGTTTTGCTATGCCACATGCACACACACACACATATATATATATATATATATACACACTCTTAATGCTGGCTGCAGAGGTCCCGTGATTTGCGAAGGCATCATACCATGGGAGCCTCAAGACCGCATGTATGTGTGAGTATGTCTGTCCCTCTGCGAAGCGAGCGGAGTTCGCGAAGGCGAGGGACACGCATGCAAAGTTGCCGTCGGACGCCGGCCGCAGAGGTTCCATGATTTGCGAAGGCATCATGCCATGAGAGCCTCAAGACCGCATGTATGCGTGAGTATGTCTGTCCCTCTGTACAGCGAGCCGAGTTCGCGAAGGCGAGGGACACACATGCAAAGTTGTGCTTCAATCTTTTTCCGGCCGCATGCTGGCTGCAGAGGTTCCATGATTTGCGAAGGCATCATGCTATGCGAGCCTCAAGACCGTAGATGGGATCTTGCCGCTCTGACAAAACATGCTTCTTAGGCTTTGGCATATGCTGGACGTGTGTAGTTGATGTCACCGTATCAACTTGCAGCAGAGACCTATGGACGAGCCCTGTCTGGTGGGAGCATGAGAATCGAAACGCCCCTAAACCTTTAATTTCGAAACCTTAAACCTCGTCCGGCTGTGTCCGAGACTCGAAAACATCAAAATCTGAAGGAGGAGCCAACAATCTTCAGAATCAACCTATCCCTCCGGCGCCACAACAAAACATGTCGCAACCCTTCGGAGGAGGCACAACGTGGGAGTTCGCACGCACGAGGCGGGTGAGAGAGGGGATGCGGATTTGGGCCGAAGGGTTTTAATATAGGGGCGACTACTAGCATTCCTCCTTGGGATACTTCGTTGACTTATGTAGGATGCCCAGTAGTCCCCTTATTCCCTTTTTGTAGTCCTGGGTTCCCTATAAAGTTTCCCAATACCAAAAAAGGAGCCCTTTTTATTCCTGGGTTGCTGGGCATCCTAATTATACTATAACAGATCGTACCCAAAATCCTATTCTAATTACTCAGGCCCCTCCATCAGCTCTTGGGGTTTTGAGGTTCAGGGTCGAGGGTGGAGTCTTCAACAGCCAGGACCCCGGAATGCGCGGTTATTGTTTAGGGTTTAGGATGAGGGTTTAGAGTTGAGGGATGTTGAGGGTGTAGGGTTTTGGGGTTGAGGGTCCAGGGTTGAGGGTCTTGGGTTTAGGATTGTTTAAATCCCACTTGTCTACTGTGGCTGCGACTTCAGGGCCCCTCGGTACAGGAACTCACAGGAAGTTGAGCTACGGGTCATGACTGTTGCTATTGCCACTACAACGCCATGCGCCCATGAACTGTCCGAAGCCTTCAACACAGTTCGCCTAGACCGAAACCTTTGCCCCAAGTCCCTGAGCCGACCTTGCCACACCCCTGACCCCAAGCCCCCAAGCATTCAGAAACCCCAAGCCCCAAGTACCTTGAGATGCAAGGCGCATACAAGAAATATCCTGTCTTGGAGCTGTGGCTTCCGCCGATGGGAGGTGCCCGAGCTTCTATTCCCAAGGACAGTGTTCGCACCACATGTCACAGGGCCATGCACTCGTGCAACTCGTGGAAGAGCCGGTGGACGACAGCACCCAGCAGGGCAAATGAGTGGAGCAGAAGAATTTACTCCATCTCTGGGAACCGAGATTCAACCTCCACCCTTCGCCAATTCTTCGTTCTCCGAATTTCAATCCACCCTCTGAGTGACCGGGTCTCCTCCTCAGGAGGTTTCGAGTGTGGACCCGGACCTTAAACTTTAAACCCTAAACCCTAAACCCTAAACCCTTAAACCCTTAACCCTAAACCCCTAAACCCCTTAAACCCTAAAACCCTAGGAGGCGGAGAGCGCTCAGGAAGGCGCTGCCCCAGACGAAGCCTCAGGAACATGGGAGCCACAAGCATCGGCCGAGCTTAGGGTTTAGGGGTTTAGGGTTTAGGGTTGTAGGGTTTAGGGTTTTAGGGTTTTAGGGTTTAAGGGTTTAGGGTTTAAGGGTTTAGGGTTTAGTTTAGGGTTTAGGGTTGTAGGGTTTAGGGTTTTAGGGTTTAAGGGTTTAGGGTTTAAGGGTTTAGGGTTTAGGGTTTAGGGTCGAGAGCATCTTTTCCTCAAGCCTTGGCTGTTCAACTTCTGCAAGAATCTCTTGGGCTCAGTACAGTCTTGTGGCATAATGTAGAGGTCGCAATGCTGAATAACATAACCCCGTTTAGCCGCTACAGAATTATACGTAGTTGCCCCATAATCTTGACAAAACCCTACTCTAAGTTCAGGCGCCTGGCTCCAAACTCAAAACTCCTTCTAGAATCCGTTTGCAGAACCCCTATAAAACCCTGTATAACACCGTTTTAAACATGGAGGCTGCCCCCCAAGTATTTCTGCCCAGAGACTCAATAGAATCCCTTTCCCTTACTCCTTAAATCATCTTAGGAATCCTATTCTGATTTATGGAATATTCCTTAATTGAGGGATATTGGAGTCGCTGGGTATGATTACCCCAAACCTTAAACCCTAAACCCTAAACCCTAAACCTTAAACTCTAAACCCTAAACCTTAAACCGAGCGAAGGACAGACTGGGGCGGCCACATGGCACCGACCTTCAACCATCTCTGCAGAAGCATCGAGGCTCACGGATCTGGCCTTGGGGTTCAGGTTTCCTTCAAGGGATCTATAGCGGTTCCTTTAAAGGGATCCTTAAGGGATCTATGGGGTTTAGGGTTTAGGGTGTATTTGTTCGCGGTTTGGGGTTTCGGGGTTTAGGGTTTAGGGAGTTTAGGGTTTGCGGTTGAGGTTTACAATTTGCGGGTTTAGAGTTTGGGGTGCAGTAGTTTAAAAGTTCAGGATTGTTGTTTAACCTTGGCCAGCTTTGAAATTCGTTGTTATTCACAGCGCGCTTGTGAGTTTTGGATAAAGGCTTGTCGCAGAAGTCTCCCGACCTTTAAAGGGGTGCCTATATGGTTTTGAGAGGCTGTTGCAGGAGGGTCTCAGCATTTGTTTACAGGGTTGGGTGGTTTGGGCAGTCGCATGTTCTAAGCCGAAGCCGGTCGTTCAGCTAGCAGAAAGGAAAGACCAGCACACATCAAGGGTCGCATGCAAATTCAAAGTTTGCAATCCGAACCCTGGGCAGGTATTGGGGTTTAGATTTAGATTCTATAGATGGCTTTAGGGCTTCAGAGTGTAGGGTTTTGGGCTGGTTAGGGTTCTGAGGATTCAGTTTATTTGTCGTGCTTTGAAGTTGAAGGTTCAAGCCACGAGCTACACATTCCCGATCAGAGTGAAACTTCAAACTGACGAGGTCTCAACAAGGTCAGCTCTTGCTGTGGAACTTGGTTTCGGGCCTCGTTTGTAAGCCTTGCGAAAACCTCTGGATTCTTGCAAAGCCTGCCGAACACCTTGCGCTAGTGATACGGCACTCCTCCTCCTACTGCGGCTGCATCAGTGTTTGCGACTGCACCGGCGAAACTCACACCTGCTATTCCTGCCCACAATGGCTGGAGGAACACCCTGCCGTCATTTCGCGGCTTCCAATCAATAGGCATTTCCACAGAATTTGAAAACAGTCCCCGGAACCATCTCGTTTCGGCCAGGTTGATGCAGACGATGCAGCCTGCACGCATAGCATGGCTTCAGGTCTAGGGTTCAGGATTGAGGCTTTAGGGTGTGGCTTCAGGGTGTAGGGTTTTCAGGCTTCAAAAGAAAGAAAGGACGTCACCTGTTCAAGGGCTCTTATGGATGAGCAGTTATAATAGAAACCCTACCTTAACCTACCAAGACATACTGTGTTGTAGGGTCCCTATAAAACAATTTTAGATTTTAAATAAGATCCTACGAAAAGTAGGGTTCAGTAGTTTAAGGCTTAAGGTAGACGCCAGCCGACTTTTCACGGGTCCGACCATAGAAACCAGACTGGTTTGGGGTTAATCTAACCTCTTTGGTAACGGCCCGGTAATGGTTTGCATCCTCGGCCACCCTCTCCATTGAATGATACGCCGGGTAAACCTTAAACCCAAAGCCCCTAAACCTCTAAACCCCCAAACACCCCTTAAACCTTTAAATGCGCCCCAAGCCCCTAAATGCCCCTTAAACCCCTAAACACCCCTTAAAAGCCTAAAGCCCCAAACCCCGAACCAAACTGCACACGTCGGGGTGGACTCGAAGGTCTGGCCACCGTGTAGGTCGTTGACCACGGGGCAGTTGGTGTATTGGCGCAAGCGGGTTCAAGGTTTAGGGTTTAGGAATGTGGGGTTTAGGGGTTCAGGGTTTAGGGTTCAGGGTTTGGGGTTCAGGGTTCAGGGTTTAGGGGTGTAGGGTTAGAGCCTTGAGACATGCAGTGCAGAGGCGAAGGTGCCTCATAGCAGGTTTCAACATGGAATGGATGAGAAGCAGAGGCAGAGCTGAACAAATCTACAAGGGCACTGCAATTTTCTAGGGCTCCGGGGTAGGACAGCCGTGTAAACACACCTCGTGCCTTGTTGTTTGTTAGTATGTGTGGTACCAATGAAGCCCACGAGCCAGCGTTATGAACTTCTGCAAAGTTCAATCACAAGCTCATGCGTTGCTTCGCTGCTGCTCTCACCCTAAGTGTCTCTGGGTTTAGCAAGTTTCGGGTGCAGGTGACCACAGCAGCTTGACAACTGAAGAATCCAAACTCGGTTTGGTGTGCGTAGCATTCGATCCGGAAATTTTTTGCGTAGGGCATTGCCCACTGCACGTCATCGTCAGCAATAGGCGGCGAGAACACCTGATGACTGGTACTGCTGCGAGGAGGATGTGCAGGCCTTTGCTGTGAAAACACGACAGCTTGTCCGCGCAGCGACTTAGATGCGAATGGCCAAAAGCGTTTTACGCCCAGACAATGCAACTCCTGGTGGCTGTTTTGTTGTTTGAGGACGTTTGAGGACTGGAGGTCTGCTCTTTCGCGGCGCGATTGTTTGCAATTCTCACCGCACGAAGCTCTCCAAGTAGGTGTACCAAGAGTAGAGCTTACATCCACTGGAACGGTAAGGAAATCTTGCGTGCAACTTGACTGAATGTCGCTACGGGTATCCCTTCGCGCGCGCGGCGCTTGCTACTGCTTGATTTCCCAAAACTACACCCCTAAACCCTAAACCCCTAAACCCCTAAACCCCCAAACCCCTAACCCCTAACCCCTAAACCCCTAAACCCCTAAACCCCTAAACCCCTAAACCCCCAAACCCTAAACCTTAAACCCTGAACCCTGAACCCTCTACAGTTTAAAAAAAACCCCAAGCCCTGGTTTTTTCAAGAGCTGAGGTCATCCGCTTCCGGCTGCTGGAGAAGAACTTCGGCGACCTAAGAGCTCCGACCTTCTGCCGGAGTCTCCGGAAGAGCTCCAGTTTCACTAGCGGTTTAGGAATTTAGGGCAATTTAGGGTTTAGGGGTTTAGGGTTTAGGGGTTCAGGGGTTTAGGGTTTAGGGGCTTAGGTGTTTTGGTTTTAGGGTTTAGGGGTTTTAGGGTTTCGGGTTTGGGGTTCAGGGGTTTAGGGTTTAGGGGTTAGGGTTTAGAGCTTTGTATAGCAAAACCGTTATGATTATGAACTTGGTTGTAATCTCGTTTATGGCCATTGCAATTTACAGTTATACTTCGTTGTTGTCAATAGTGTTTTTTGTTTTTGTTTGCGTCTTTTGAGGTTTGGGGTTGTAGGGGGTGGCGGTTGGGGGTCATTCCTTTTAAACAAGATGTTCGAAACACTCCTTTTCAAATGTTGAAAACGTAAGGTGTTAACGGCTTATAGTCTCTATGTTTCGGCATTCAGGGTGTTTGCTTCGTCGAAAAAATCAGGGTATGTCTTTAGGCTTCGGGACATAATGTGCATACTGATATCTTGGGACTGCAGAGCTGCTATTTTGCGAATCACGAAGCCACTGTCGGAAACTACAAGCCCTTGCGCTGTGAAGCTTGTTCGAGGAGTCTCAAGAATCTAGCGGAATCACGCAGCCTTCATGTAAAACGAGACCAGTATGGCTAGTATGCGGCTGGGCTCTTGTTACGTGACTCATGTTAAGTTACAAAAATGAGGAAACCATAATATAGATCCCAATTATGGTATCTCAGCTTCGGGCCCCAAGCTACAGCCCATGATAGGGTGCTTCTTCGGGGATTCAGGGTCCTACATGTGTGAGATTCCTTGCGACATGGCTTTCTGCAGAGGACTGCATCGGGGTATCACCACCCCATAACAGACGACAGCTGCAACATGCCCCCATGAGAGTAGAGCAGAGCATTCGTGGAATAGAAACGTCTGAAATGTGCAGCAGTGCAACGAATTATATCAATGTGCACTGTTCTGCATAGCACAGTATGGGTTGTAGCCAGGTGCTGTGTGATTATAGTGCAGTCCCGAACAAGGTCCAACATATCTCGCGCTTAATCCGAGTATGTGACATGTTTTCCCGCAGAGCCCAGACACATGCTTCGAGGTCCAAAAACCCTAAACCCTAAACCCCCACTGGATGCAACGCTGTACCAGGGGTGGGCAGCCCAATGTGGAGGTTGTTGAGGACTCGAACGAGGACAACATGGCCGAGCAGAGGGACATGGAGGATTTCGAGGAGAAAATGGAGGAGCAAGAAGTGGCCCGGGACATGCGAGCAGCCGAAGCATTCCTGCGAGAACAGGACTCCACGGCGGCACAAAGCACGGATGATGCCACTATGGAAGCAGCGGGGTCGTACTCGTGGAGACCGGGCTATGTGCAGTCGAGACTTCGAGTCAGGGCCACGGTGGCGAGTGAGACCCGTTCTTTGGATCTGGATGTACCAGGCCACCAGGGGGCAACGGTTACCACGCAAATGGTCCAGATCAGGGAGCCTGGGCAGTGGCTCTATCAAGGGCGCCCCGTACAATGGTGGCAAGTGCCTGTTGAAGTACGTGGGGAGCTTGGAACCAGTTCGGAAGAAGACGTGAAACGACCCCGCAAGACCTATCTACAGGCACGATCACTTCGGGGAGCACAAGTGTTGGACATCCAAGACCCCCTAGTCTTCGGCTACTACAAGATGTGGTTGGAGGGAAGTATGACACGGGCCGAGATTATCCAGGCAGGCGGTATGGCTCTGTTTGACTTCGTGGAGAGCACGGCGGCGCACAGACATGAATACAGATCTGAGACCGTGATGCCACCCCAGCCAACGGCACCTGTGACAGAGCCTGTTCTGAGTAATATGGTACCCGGTGAGCAAACTGTACAGATGTGTTTGGAAGATGCTGAGGGAAACTCCCCCCTAGGGCTTGACGATCTCAATCGATCGGGCTAGCTGGCAGCTGTGGTAGACACTATCTAACCTGAGCTGTGAAGAGCTGCTGTGCACCGCTTGCGGGTTTTAGCTTGACTGCCTTGTTTGTCAGATACTTCGTGTTTTCTATTCCTTGCTTGAGCCCTCATCAAGCTAAGAGCAAGCGTGAGAGTTTTTGCATGACCCAGGCCGGGTGCTCCAGCCCAATGGGCATTTGCTTGTGACCTTGAGCTGCAGGTGAAAAGGAGCGATAAAAAAAAAAAACCCTGAAACCCTAAAACCCTAAACCCTAAACCCTAAACCTCGAATGCTTCGAGGTCCAGTTTTCGAGCTGCAAACTTGAGGCTTCCAGGTATGGGGCAGAGCATTGTGATGTTCCTTCGCACGTTTATTGAAGCCTCTGCCCAGCTTTAGGCAGTCCCTCTCCCAGAGGTATTCCGTTGCTACATGAAGATCTTACATCATGGCTTAGATGCTAGCAACCATTTCGGGCAACTTTCCTGCAGGCCAGGTCTTTGAGCTTTAGATGCAGTTAAGGTTTTAGGGGTTTAAGCTTTAGGGTTTAGGATGTGTTGCTATTCCCTTCTTGGTATCATCACTGTTGATGCTTGTATCCTGCATGGGCTTTGGGTAGGGCAGTGCTCACTTGCCTCATTTTCTTGTCCGAGCGATGGCGCTGGCATTTGCGGCGCCCTTTCAGCCGCAGATCGCGGAGTCGACGCCGCCGGCGCGCAGGCTTGGTTTGTGTTTTTCGTGATTTTGCATTGAACCTCGTAGCAACCCTGAACCTCAAGGGCAAAAATATTGATGGATCAACAATCCGTCAACCCTCAGACGGTTCGAGAAGAAACAAGCCTGATGTAGTTGTTCGTTTCCGCCCTCTCACACCCCAAACCCGCAGCATCAGACACCAAGAAGCTAAAGCACTTTCCAAGCATCAGCAAATACTTCACAAGCCAAAAGGCATTGGACCCTGAAGGCTTAACCGCTGGGCACTATACCCCCCATTAAATCTCAAGAACTTCTTGAGTCTCGTGAAACACTCATAAACCCAGCCCCAAAGCCACCCTCAAGACACCACAGGAGGGGACTCTGAAGCCTCAACCCGAAGCCCGAAACTTGGACATGTAACCCAAGCCCTAAACCCTAAAACCCTAAACCCTAAAACCCTGAACCCTAAACCCTAAACCCTAAAACCCTAAACCCTAAACCCTCAACCCTAAAACCCTAAACCCTCTCTTTCAAATGAGTATTTAAATGTTGAGCCATTTTTCCGTCACGGACCCCCCAGTGTTGCACCAGGTTTCCGTCAGGACCCCCCAGTGTTGCACCAGGTTTCCGTCAACGGAAACCTGGTGCAACACTGGTCCCACCAGTGTTGCACCAGGTTTCCGTCAGGACCCCCCAGTGTTGCACCAGGTTTCCGTCAACGGAAACCTGGTGCAACACTGGTCCCACCAGTGTTGCACCAGGTTTCCGTCAGGAGCCACCAGTGTTGAGCCAGGTTTCCGTCAACGGAAACCTGGTGCAACACTGGTCCCACCAGTGTTGCACCAGGTTTCCGTCAGGACCCCCAGTGTTGCACCAGGTTTCCGTCAACGGAAACCTGGTGCAACACTGGTCCCACCAGTGTTGCACCAGGTTTCCGTCAGGACCCCCAGTGTTGCACCAGGTTTCCGTCAACGGAAACCTGGTGCAACACTGGTCCCACCAGTGTTGCACCAGGTTTCCGTCAGGAGCCACCAGTGTTGAGCCAGGTTTCCGTCAACGGAAACCTGGTGCAACACTGGTCCCACCAGTGTTGCACCAGGTTCCGTCCGTTGCACCAGGTTTCCGGAAACCTGGTGCAACACTGGTCCCACCAGTGTTGCACCAGGTTTCCGTCAGGACCCCCAGTGTTGCACCAGGTTTCCGTCAACGGAAACCTGGTGCAACACTGGTCCCACCAGTGTTGCACCAGGTTTCCGTCAGGAGCCACCAGTGTTGAGCCAGGTTTCCGTCAACGGAAACCTGGTGCAACACTGGTCCCACCAGTGTTGCACCAGGTTTCCGTCAGGACCCCCCAGTGTTGAGCCAGGTTTCCGTCAACGGAAACCTGGTGCAACACTGGTCCCACCAGTGTTGCACCAGGTTTCCGTCAGGACCCCCAGTGTTGCACCAGGTTTCCGTCAACGGAAACCTGGTGCAACACTGGTCCCACCAGTGTTGCACCAGGTTTCCGTCAGGACCCCCAGTGTTGCACCAGGTTTCCGTCGGAAACCTGGTGGCACTGGTCCCACCAGTGTTGCACCAGGTTTCCGTCAGGACCCCCCAGTGTTGAGCCAGGTTTCCGTCAACGGAAACCTGGTGCAGCACTGGTCCCACCAGTGTTGCACCAGGTTTTCGTCAGGACCCCAGGGTTTGGGCTTTAGGGTTTAGGGCCTAGGGTTTGGGCTTTAGGGTTTAGGGCCTAGGGTTTGGCCTTTAGGGTTTAGGGCCTAGGGTTTGGGCTATAGGGTCTAGGGCCTAGGACTTTGAGGTTTAGGGTTTAGCGCTTGGGCTTTAGGGTTTAGGGTTTTGGGTTTTGGGCTTTAGGGTTTAGGGCCTAGGGCTTTAGGGTTAGGGTTTAGCGCTTGGGCTTTAGGGTTTAGGGCCTAGGATTTGTCCTTTAGGGTTTAAGGCCTAGGGTTTGTTTGGGCTTTAGAGTTTAGGACCTAGGGTTTGGGCTTTAAGTTTAAGGCCTAGGGTTTGGGCTTTAGGGTTTAGGGCCTAGGGCTTGGGCTTTAGTGTGTCATGCTTCTTTCTGTAAGGCAGAAAAGATGACACATATCCGGCCTGAAATGTGTCATGCTTTTTTCTGTAAGGCGGAAAAGATGACACATTTCCGGCTTGAAATGTGTCATGTTTCTTTCTGTAAGGCGGAAACGATGACACTCTGCAAGGCGGAAAAAATGACACATTTCCGGCCTGAAATGTGTCATGCTTCTTTCTGTACTGCAGCAATAGAAACATAAGTATATGCTAGAAATCAAGGCGTAGGGTTTGAGGTTTGATGTCGTCTGAGGGTAACGAAAATTTTTTCTAACTCTTATGTATTGGGATTCTTTGGGTGGGTGGGTATTCTTCCAGGTTCTTACTAGCGAACTTGTCTAGATACTGCTCGACCAGAGCTGCTGAAACCCTACACCCTAAACCCTAAAACCCTAAACCCTAAACCCTCAACCCTCAACAGACTTGACCCCCTGAACCCTTGAAGCCCCAAGCCTTTAGGGTTTAGGGTTTAGGGTTTAGGGTTGTCGTTGCGAGGATCCCACATGAGGGTTTTGGGTTTGGGGTCTCTTAAACACAAAGCTCAATAAATGCGAACCTCATTCTCCGACTTCAAGATCCAAACCAGACAGGTCCAGTTTCCTCATGAAACTTCAGAAGCATCAGAAAATGGCAAAGTGCTAAAACCCCAGACCATAAAGCGTAACAAAGTAGATCCTGAAATCCTAAAAATTCACAAACCCTGCAACAGATTTTAGAAAGAGCAAATAGAAACAACCCTACAGAACCCTAGCAACCTTTAAAGAACAACCGTTCGCCGTCCGAATAAGACTCTCTAAACCCTAAATCCTAAATCCTAATAAGACCTGCAATGCCCGGGCCAGGACTCCTCCTGCCCCACGCGCATCCAGCGATGGCCGGGGGCTGCCACTGGCGGCCGGGGCCTTAGAGGGTTCTTCTTAGGGGTTCAGGGTTTAGGGTGGGGTTTAAAGTTTGGGTTTAGGGGTTTAGGGTTTAGTGATAGTGGTTTTGACGGGCTTTCAGGGGAAAAAAATCCAAAGACAAAACCAAGCCTTAAACCCCTAAACCTTGAAACCTCTAGCCTTAAGCTCCAAACAACCCTGAACCCTAAACCCCAAAAGCCTAAGACACCCGGAGGTTTGGGTTTAGGCTGACAGGAATTCCACCTTGATTGAGAGTGTTGGGAGTCTGAGGCTGGTTTAGGACGGTAGGGTTCAGGGTTGAGGGCTTTTCGGGTTTAGGGTTTAGAGCATACAGTGCACGGTCTAGAGTCAGGGGGGGGGAAGGGTGTGCATGCGAAAAGGAAGTGACGCAGAGGGTTCAGGAGGAACTTGGGGCTACAGGATTTACAGATCCGGGACCGGGGCTACAGTGAAACAGAGAAACAAAAGGTTAAGGGACATAGATGAAGGATGATTCATGTTGGGGTGCTGGAGTTCTTTCTCCCCCTCGGAATCTGAGGATAATAATGCTCCAACATTCTAGCTACGACTTCAGCGATGGCGATTAGGCTCTATCTCGCTCGATTACAAAACATTCGTCGAATCGATGAACTTGCGCTGGAACAGTTGGACCATCCTTCACTTTGTTCCCCAAGCCCTAAACCCTACTTAAAGGCTCATGGGACTTAGTAAGTAAGGTTATAAGTAGGTTATAATTAGGATAACCCCACTTAGGGGACTTATAACCCCAATTATAACCTACTTGCTAAGTCCCATGACCCTTTAAGTAAACCATGTCTCCAAGGATGGCTGGGATGGAAATGGACAGGCGCTACTCCAACCCATATAACCGGCCAGAAGAGTGGCAGGGCTGCCGGGGGCAGTGACGGTTTAGGGTTTAGGGTTTAGGGTTTAGGGAGTGGTGTGGTGGGAAGATCCGCCCCCGCGTCTAGTGTCTATGTCTATGTGACTCATATCACAAGGTCTGGCTGGACATGACCACGTTCTCAGATGGGTGGCCCCTTTTGATTTTGCAGCTCTCTCGCTGTGTTGTTTGCCAGATGTTGACAGGCAGCCCAATGCCCCTCAACATGCGGCATGCCGCCGCTTCAGCATTTTGCAAGTTGCGAGGAAAATCCAAGAATGATGTGCAGACGAAAGCACCTTAAACCATAGGAATCCCTTACAGGTCCCTTTGAGGACCGCTATCCGGTCTTCAACCGCTGAGGGCTCTTGGGTACCCGAAATTCGAACAGCCAAATCCTTTGGATTTTGGTGTTGCGGCTTTAAGGTTTTCGGGTTTTGGGTCGGCGATATTTCATTTGGGGCTTTCTGCAGGGGCCTTAATAATTGGATTAGGGTGTTGGGGGTTCCTATTTATCTATAGTATACTGTACCCCCAAACCCAATTCAAATTATTATTAAGGCCCTACATTACGATCTCTTGGGCCCGTTTCTGTCCCACTAGGCGAGTTCCATGGTCGTCGCCGCAGCTGCCGTGGCCAGGCGCAAACGCACCTCGCGGCGGCAGGCCGGGATGGACAAGAATGTGACATTCCCGCTTTGCAGGGGTTGGTGGCTTTGGGTTTTGGGTATAGCAGTTGCGAAAATTCGGGTCAGTTTTAGGATGTTTCGGGTTGCATGAAGGGTCAGGGGACGGAGCAGGGAGTTTTTCAGTGTCATTCCGACCCGAAAACGCGTGTAGGACCCTAAAACCTAACCCGAACCCACAACCTGAAACGCCAACTCAGCATTGTGCCACTGTCCCCTGCCCCCCCCCCCCGCTCTCCGTTTGATAATGCGCTGCTCATGGCACCCTTCACAGGACTATGCGTAATGGGACGGAAGGTTTAAACCAACAGCGCAACGTTCCCGTGCCCCTGACTCCGAAAGTCCTGAATCTCAAGCTCCACATCCCTGAGTCCCACGACTCCACAAGCGTACCCCGAAACCCTGCAAAGCGAAAAAAACACCTGACTCACCTTGCTAACTAATGTCCGAAACCTCTAAGCCTCTAAGCCACACGTTCTGAACCTTTACTCGAACCAACCCTTAAACCCCAGTCATCGAGAACAAGCCTCTCAACGGGCACCTCAATAAGAAAAACCGTAAGCCCCGAATACACTCTGCATTCTTAGCCCCAAAATTCCGAAACCCGGCATCCGCGATCCATTTCCCTGGTGTATCAAGTAATTCGAGCATAACGCTTAGGGCCGAAAGTTGGGGACGCTAGTTATTAGATGTGAAGTTTTAGCATGAAGAAGACACAGCTTGGACCAGTGGCAACACATGGCAATGTTGCATTTGTTGTACAGTGTGCGGAACAGGGGCATATGCACCAGACTGTATGTGTATACATATTATGTATATATATATATATATATGCAAGACGCGTATGTGCAATTTCTGTGGATTGTGAAATACATACATACATACATACATACATACACATATACATATTTACAAACGTACATATCTTCTGTACATATATATATATATACATATGTATATATGGACAGATATCTACAGTATCTGTTTATCTCTCTCTATATATATATATATGTATATCCCTAAAATCCTACACCCCAGAACCCTAAAGTTCCCGAAGTGTCAGGCCCTGAAGGAGAAAGATCAGCCGATGTTATCGGGCATCAAGGGACCTGTGAACCTCGCAACTTGCCGTTTAGTTAATGAAGGGGCCTTCTTCTCAACGGGTCCTTTTAAGGGTTCCGTGTGTAAGGGGTCTTTAAGGGCTAGTATAAGGGCTACTAAAGGATTCAGTAAAGGGGCTTAAATACTGAGAATAGGATTCCTTTAAGGGGCTCTATAGAAGGGCTACTATAAGGGATCTCAAAGGGCACTATAGTATCGGGACTTAAATGAGCAGAATAGGGTTCCCTTAAAGGGTTTCTTTTGAAGGGGTCTAGAAGGATTACTATAAGGGGTATTATGGGGGTTTAGTATAGGGGCCTTAATACTCAGCAACACCATTTTGGTTTGGACGCTCCTTATTACAATGATAGTATACTTGGCCCCAAAAACCCTAAACCCTAAACCCTAAACCCTAAACCCCTAAACCCCTAAACCCCTAAACCCCAAACCCCCCCACAAACCCTGTTCTGATCATAAAGACCCCTACATCATTTCATCAGGAGTCCTCTGGGTCTGTGAGGCGTAGAAGGAGCGTTTAAATTCATGTCTATGAGGTTTCTGTAGGATTCCTCTCAGGGTTTCCTTTACAGGATCTTATGAGAAGAAGGGTTTGGGGTTTTCAATCTTCTGTTTTAGAAGGGGCCCCACCCTGTAATAGTGGTATAATAGGAACATACTAGGGCCCTAATATAATCCTTATACTCACTATTGCAGGGTGGGGGCAGCCTCTAACTTCTGTTTGAGTTTTGCAAGCGCCTACAGTAAACCACAAAAAGTTGGAAACAGGAATATGGACAATTAGTGCTGGGATTCTCTATACATGGGACCTAAGGATTGAGGCTATTGGGTTTCCAACTTTTGGGCTTGTACTGTACATCTTAGAAGGGCGGCAGGTGCGGTTGGGGTTCACAGCCGGGAGCGGTCGAGGGGTTTAGGGCCTACGGACATAGGGTCGGTTTAGGGTTTAGGGGTTTAGGGTTTAGGGTTTAGGGGTTTAGGGGTTTAGGGGATTAGGGTTTAGGGGTTTAGGGTTTAGGGTTTAGGGGTTAGGGGTTCAGGGTTTAGGGTTTAGGGGTTTAGGGTTTAGGGGTTTAGGGGTTCAGGGGTTTAGGGTTCAGGGGTTTGAAGGTCTTAAGTCTTGCATCGAGGATTCTCTGAGGGCCGTGGCTGCGGCTATTCAAATGGGTTTGTTTTATAATTTTGTTCAGGTTTTCGGGTTTCAGAGTTGTTATCACGGGTCCTTTCTCCACCCCCTAGGCTAAAACCCCAAGCCCCGTCCATTCCAAGCCCGCAGACTCTAGTAAACCCTGAACCATAGACTTTCAAAGTGCTGGACCCTCAACATGAGACCCTGGACCCGTCACAACCTTGAACCATGCAAACCGTAAGCCTTGAACCACTAAGCCATGAGATCCTAAAGCCCTAAACCCCTGCAGACAACCTCCTCCTTAACACACCCTGTCAAACCCCTGAACACCTAACCCAAGAACCTTTCGCAAAGCACCATAATGAGCCTGTAGAACCCTGTATATGATCATCGAAACATGGTTTTTAACCACCCCCTCCATCTACAATCAAACGTCCTTTCTGTCACAAAGGTGAAGGACGGCGAAGTCGAAGGGCTACCCTGGTGGTGGGAGGCTGCTCCCCCCTTCATCTAAGGGGATTTTTTGTTAAGGTTTGAGGGTGTCGGGACGCGTGGCTTAAGGGTTGGTTGAAGAGGGTTTTGGGATTTGGGGCTTAAGGGTTGAGGGTTCGGGGGTTGAGGGCTTGGGCCTCATGACGGTTTGGATTCCTGTCATGACATTTAAACCCCCAAGCTCAGAACCCAAGCCTAAACCCTAAAGCTTTGTGATGTGGTCTGCTTCATCCAGGGGTTTGGAGGTTTCAGGGTTTAGGGTTTGGGGTTGGGGAATTATATTTTCACTAACAGGTGCTTCTACCCTGCCTGAAGAAGTTCAGCAAACCTTTGAACCAATCTTGTTGGCAATGGCTTTCACATCGGTTCGGGGATAGCTCAGGGCAGGCTTACATACCACGGAGACGTGCATACTCAGGTTCTCACCACTTTGCTGCTACTCCTCATTTATCCACACATAACCAATGCCCTCCGCCCCGCCCCCCACTCCAACCCTAAATAATTACCAATACCATTATGCAGTTCATGCTTCTTTGTCTTTTTCTCATCTTTACTGTTACTATTACTGTTCTTATTGTTGTTATTGCTATTATTGTTATGATGGGGATGATGCTTATTATCGTAGTTATAGTATACCATAGCCCAAAACCCATTTGTAATTCAACTTGTTCAGGCCCCTATACTCTACCTTACATGCGTTCGACAATGGCCCCCCAAGACTGGCCGCCAGATGACACGGCGCAGGAAGGCGAACGCAGAGCGGGTGTCGCATCTCAACCCTTTAGCAGGTGCGGCGAAGCTGATAATCGAAGTGCTGCCACCTGCAGAGATGCCGGAGGCTCACGAGGAAACTGGCCCGGCGACGGCATCCCGAAACCCTAAACCCTAAACCCTAAACCCTAAACCCTAAACCCACATCAAGGCAAAGGCAGGAGCCTCTTGCCGGAGTGGCTGCCGACCTCACGCATGCTGCATCAGATGACGGGTTTTCGCACTATGAGTGGAGTTATAAGTCTTTTAATCCGGGTTAAAACTGTACATACTACTTACAAGCCCAGGTATAACTACCCATGAACCCATGAACCTCCAAGTAGGCCTCTAAACCCTAAACCCTGAACCCTAACCCTGAACCTTAAACCCATGAACCTCCGAGTGCAGCTTCAACGGCTTCTCAATCCGTGCCTGCAAGCCCATGAGGCCTTCTGGGCACTTCCCTTCACGGAGCGCGGAAAGAAAGGCCGCGGGGGGCTGTAGGATTTAGGGTTTCAGAGTTGAGGGTTTAGGGTTTTACGGGCTTTTAGGGTTTGTTACAGGTGTTCTTTTGCTGCAGGACCCTCGTTAGTTTTGTCATGGCATTGAGACTAATTACAATTTACCGTCAAGTATCGAGGGATCAATTGTAATTAAAAAGCAGCAATAGCAGTTGTATGAAGAGGAATCCAAGGGCTCTTCCTTACATCTTTTGTGTTTAGGGCTCGGGGCTTGGGTTAAGGGTTTGGGGTAGGTGTTCGAGGTTTGGGGCTTTTTGAAAGCCCCAAACCTGGGAAAGCTATGCGTTTCTGGGGCCGCAGGTCTTGCGTCAACCAGTAAACCCCTAGACCCTACCGCCTAAGCACTAAGCCCCTAACCCAATGGCTTTAAACCCCTGACGACCCTAAACTCAGACCCTACACCACTAGACGCTAACCCTTGCCTCTGGCCCGAAATACCTACCTGTTTAAGGAGCTACATATGTCAGAATTATGTTCCCTTTTTGGGTCCTTATTATAACACGGCACCTAATATTTAGGGTACCCAATAAGGGGCCATAATTTTGACAACCACCCACATGTAGGCCCTCAAAGCGAAGCTCGGGAGGCGAGCCGCTCTGCTTGGGGGACACCATGCACGTCTTTCGGACGCTGCTGGGCCAGGTTTCGGCTTTTGGGGTTTAGGGTCCACAAGGCACAAGGTCTAGGGTTTCTAACCTTCGGGGTTTAGGGCTTATAAGGTTTGGGGTTTAGAGTTTGGGGTTTGTAAGGTTTAGGGTTTATAAGGTTTAGGGTTTATAAGGTTTAGAGTTTAGGGTTTACGGGTTTTTTCGGGTTTAGGGTTCATAAGGTTTACTTCCTTTCGAAATTTGACGGCTCCTAGAATACTGGGTCCCTACAACAGAACTAGGGAAAAGGGTGCCCTGATGATTAAAGGGTTCCTGGGAGGGCTCCTGAGGGGCTCCTATAATGATTATGGTGCCGTTTCCTTTGAGGGTTTCTGTACATAAAGGATCATGGGACTTAGTACTTGCGGTTATAAGTAAGGTGACTGTGACTACGGTTATAACGGCTTCTGGCCCCAATTGGGGTACTTGTACCCCTACATACTAAGTCCCATGATCCTCCAAGTAGGGGGGTTGCTATAACGGCCCCCTTAGCGGTTTCTATAGGGCTTCCTCTGGGCGGGTGTGCATCTGAAGTTCCAACGTCCAGATTTTTAGGGTGAGCTTTGGCCTTCAAGCCCCTGCACCCTGAAACCCCTAAGAGGATTTCTGACTTCACCCTCAACCCAAAACCTAAACCTGAGCAGGAGGAAAGCCGGTGTTCAAACAGCACCTAAACCTCAAGTCAACCTAAACCCTAAATTGTAGGGTTTGGGTTTCGTTGCTCTTTGGGTTCACGTGTCCAGGGGTTTAGATGTCCTGTCCGACCCGACGAGACCACAGATCGACACTTTGAAGCCTAAATTCTAAACCCAGGCACACATCCTGAAGCCTGAGTCCCGAAGCCTTTGAAGCTTGCCCCCCCTCAAAGCCCAAAAAGGTCCCTAAACTCTAAACCCTCAACCCCTAAACCGCTAAACCCTACAACCCTAAACCTCCATCCCTGAACCGTCAGCCTTGCAAGGAACATCGAGCAAATCTTTGGTGGCGAGCCGTCTTACGATGGCACCTTCCCTGCAGTATCGACAGGAGCTTGTGTGGGTCGTTTGGAGCGTCCCTTTTTTTAAAGCCGGTTTTTCAAGTTGGTCTTTAATGATACAAAACTGTTTGTATCGAAGGTTTATTTTAGTGGTTTTCTTGAAGTGGAGCACACTCCGACGTCATAGTTGGCGAAGGTTCAGCAATATCAGGTGCAGAGCTGTACGGGTTCCCTGGAATGCAGGACACTTCCCTAGCATCCCCAATTGCACAGTCCGGGCGCACAGCGCAACGGACCTTTTGGATTTCGGCCGAGCTTTGGAAGTCTGCTGGGCTGTCAGTACTGCGTAGTACTATTGTTGTCATTCTTAGTACTAGTATGTTTCAGACTGCTGGTCTTATAACTAGAACTCTTGTTATGTTAAGGGCTCGGCCTTCTATTGCTGTCGGGTTTAGGGTTTAGGTTTGGCTGTCGGGTTTCAACGGTTTAGGGTTCGCGGCGGGGGTGGGGGGGGGGAATGCGCCAGAAGACAGTGGCATTCCCAGAGACTGCAATATCCCTTAATTACGGAATAGACCCTGAATTATGTTGGGGTTCGTATTGTAATTTAAAGAATCGTCCTTAAATCATATTAGGGTTCCTACTATAGTTTAAGGAATATTCCTTTGTTAAGGGATATTGGAGTCTCTGGGTGTCACACACTGACGGCCACAAGACATCTCAGAAGGACGAGAAGCCGAGAAACCATTCAGGAATCTACGGTGCGTGAAAAGGAAAAGGAAGTAAACCCTAAAACCCAAATCCCTAAAACCTAAACCTCAAAACCCAAATCCCTAAAAACCCTAAGACCCTAAAACCCTAGAACCCTAAACACTAAAACCTTAAAGCATTAAAAACCTTAAAGAGCCACACAATGGACATCGACACTTGGACTAGGACCTAGAGTAGGCCCTGATTCCCTCTTTTATTCCCTTATAAGCCCCTCTAAACCAAAAAGGGCACCCTTATTATTCCTAGGTTACTCTTAGGTCTAGTTACAATGCAAATTTTATGCTAAACCCTATAAGCCCTAAACCTTAAACCGTAAAAACTCGAGCGTGAAGCCCCAGGACCCCCCCAAGCCAGGGACCTACTTAAAGGATCACGGGACTTAGTAATTGGGGTTATAAGTAAGGCAACTACAGTTCTAATTACTTATAACCCCAATTAAGGTACTTATAACCCTACTTACTAAGTCCCATGATCCTTTAAGTAGAGTCCTTGAAGAATGCTTGTATTGTAGCACCCGTTGTAAAAATAAAGAGTTTCGAGCCGTTGCCGAGAACCCATACGGTTTAGGGTTTAGGGCATACATCATCGGGACCCTTATGGCGCGGGGTAGGGGACTACATTTCCTTAAATAGGCCTTATTAGGTCCTTATTATGGGCATGAAGGCCCCCTACCCCCGCCCTCCCCCTACCTCCGAAGCGTCCCTATGAACTCCGAGGTGCGCCGCTTGCAACTGGAGACCTCGCAAGCGCGGGGCTGACTGACGGTACCATGCAGCTTGGTCCGCGCAACGGGGGCTCTATTCTGGGTTCTCCGTTGAAGCTTTTCTCCCGTCGTTTATGAAAGTGTAGATTCAGGAGGTTGTCAAACATGTCATGTTGATTTCGGGCGCAGCAAGACGGTTGCGCAAACAGTGAATGACCATGCCAGAAGCAAGCCATCAGGACCAGAAAGTCACGACCACCGTCACATGCAAACGGGCCAGAAGAACTGTCAAGCCCCAAACCCCAACGGCCCAACCCAAGGTATTTGGGCCTGCAGAAGTATCAGGAAAACTTCGGCGACGTGTACAAGCTTTGTTTCGGACCGAAGAGTGGCCCGGCACAGTTTCAGACGCCCAAACGCGACTTTTCAGTTGTTTTAGTTAGTTTTTATTTTTTACGGTTTTCGCCGGAGACTTTGCAAAGAAACTCCTCGAGGGTCTTGTAAGGGGTTCAGCGTTTAGGGTTCAGGGTAGTCGGATCACTTTGAGCACTGACTATTCTTCTCAAGTTTGTGTTGGTTGACACGGCTGCTAGCATGCTGCTAGCACTGCTGAACGTGACACGAAGCCTCAAGGCCTAAACCCCAAATGCTGAAGCTGCCTAAACCCCTCTCAACCAACCTTCCCGGCCTCGACAGTCCGTGGGCGCCAGCGAGCTAAGCCCCATGATCCTTGAAGAAACCCCCTAAACCCTAAACCCTAAACCCTAAACCCTAAGCCCTAAACCCTAAACCCTAAGCCCTAAGCTCTGATCTCAAGGCTTCATGGTTGTTTCTGATCCGCAGATCCTCAAGCACATGCTGCGCATCCTGGGCATAAATGAAGGCTTCAGTGGTTTCATTCTCTTGGTTTAGAGCTCACGGTTTAGGGTTTAGAGTTTGGGATTGTTACCGTTTTCTGTTAGGGTTTTGCGTTTGCCGTGGAATATCGTGCAGACGAGATGAAAGCGTCTTGCGACAGAGTGTATTCGAGCCCAGGGCACTGTACGGACGAATTAGCTGTCAGGGCCTGAATGTGGCATGCTTGTCTTGGTCTCCATCCCACCCCACGCGGCTTCAGGCGATCAATGCAACTCTCCATGACTTGGGGTATGTGGCAGAATTCCGTCAACCCCAATCCCTATATAAACCTTTAAACCCTACACCCTAGTCCCTAAACCCTAGGAGGCATGAAAGAAGCTTTCTGGATCTTCTGTGACCGAGGTGAAAACGTTTTCAACTATGACAAGGGTGTGCTGGGCGAGGTCCTGGAAGATGTTATGGGCAAAGGCCACAAGGCCGCCTTAAGATAGAAGCCTGAATCATTCATCAACTTTCTTCAAGAGGCTTCCCTATGAATTATACTTTTCTTCCTGAGGCTTCCTCATGAATTACACTTCTACTCAGAGTAAACCTGCTGGGGTCGTTTCGAGTTCAGGGCTTGTTGCGAAAACTGCAGTCTCAGAGCTTGGGGGTTGAAAGGGCAAAGCTCCCGAAGGTACCCTTAAACCCTGAACCCTACATCCCTACATCCCTAAACCCTAAACCCTAAACCCCCAAACCCTAAACCCTGAAACCCTCAGCCCTAAATCCCGAAACCCTAAACCCCAAACCCTACCGCAGTCTACGGCAGTCCCTGTCGTGTGTACATCGTGTCCTCATGACCTCTTCATCTTCGGCCCCCGTTCTTATCGACGGACCCAGCCAGGGAAGGTTGTGCAGGAGGACCCCTGGAATGATGCCAACAAGTGGCGTGCAGAGATTACCCGTGCTCACAAGGTGGTGTTGCGGAACACGCACTCGATCCTGTGCATAGATGCCTTCGGAGAAGCGAAGGTAGACAGGGTGAGGCCTTTTTTGGCCTGCTCTGACAAAGATCGCACCCGAAGCATTGCAACACGTGCTTGGCGAATCTTCAGCGTCGCGGGGAAGAGGAGAAAGCTGTGCACGCAAAGATCAAGAGGTGAGCGTTGGTCCCAACACCCTACTTAAAGGATCATGGGACTTAGTAATTGGGGTTATAAGTCAGGTAAGTACAGTTATACTTACTTATAACCCCAATTCAGGTACTTATAACCCTAATTACTTAGTATGTCCCATGATCCTCCAAGTATGCCAAAAACCCTAAAGCTGCTTTCCACAACATACATGGAGGCAATTTGTTCCTAAATCCGGCTCCATGTGAGTCATGTACCGCGCATAAATGAGTGTGAAGTCGGATGCTTCAGCCTCGGACCCGAAGCCCTCAGCGCCCTCAACCTTAGTTTTGAGGTTTAGGGAAGTTTTAAGGTTTAAGGCAAAGTCCTCAAAACTGAAAGCATCAAACCCTAAATCCTTGAAGACCTACAGCCCCAATGCCAAATGCTTAATCCCCGATTCCTAACACAGTGAATGCTGCACACTATCTGGCGAACTCTGGTTCATTTGGCTCCAACTTTGGACACGAAGTGCATTTGGGGTTGACGGGGTGTTCCGCCAGCCCGACGTCCAAAGACCCATTCCTGCATGAACACCCTCTGCCCAAGATGGTTAAAGAATTATAGCATGTTATAGCTGTTAGTAGTTCGTATCGCTCATTGTAAGCATGTGTGGGTGCAGTGCTATCACTAGCTCCAGCATTCTGTCATTAGTAGCATTCATATTACAGTTCTACCGCTGCAGTTAAACAAATCGCTGTAGAAAAATCCTAGGTCTCATTCCAGCGGATTTCGAGACGTGGCGGGTTCGACGGCGAGCCATCGTACCAGGCGGCTGGATGTGCATGCAGTGCTTGTTTTCTGTCCCTAGCCGCTAGCCTCGCCCTATATTATGACCCTACATAACCAAAAAGGTTAACCTTTAGTTCCCCATGATACCCGACAAGTAGGAGAATGCTTGCCAAGGAACCCAGCACTCTGTACATTCCCAGGGCCCGCCGATAGTTTTGGGGCAGGACCCTTGACCCTAAACCTGGACCCGAAACCCTACTCTATAGACCCCGAGACCTTGAACCATAAACCTACATAAAGGATCATGGGACTTCGTAATTGCGGTTATAAGTAAGGTAAGTCCAGCTTTACTTACTTATAACTCCAATTAAGGCACTTATAACTTATAACCCTACTTAATAAGTCCCATGATCCTCCAAGTAAACTCGAAAGACCCCGAGGCCCGATCGTGATATGGTGTCTTATACAACCTTAAACCCTATAAGCCCTTAACCTAAGCCATTCGACCCCACGGCCCTAAGCCCCTAAGCCCCAAAATCCTAAACGTTTTGAGGAACCCTGAGCCTGCACCCCAAGACCCTTTAGTCAGGCTTCCATCATGATTCCTTCAGGTTCCCTGTATGGCCACACTACTGTTGATGGTCAAAATCCTGCATTACCCATAATAAGGAATATACCATAATTCCCATAGTTTAGGGTCCTTAAGGTCATGCAGGATTTATACCATCAACCGTATAATATACCCCCCCAAACCCTCTTGAAGTCATTTGAGAGTTTCCGAAAATTTGGGGGTACCTTATTTCGGGGTCCTTACAATAAAGGATCCTATTATTTGGGGTACCATATTAGGGTCCCCTATTTTCGGAAACTCCCATTTAGACCCCTACAATACTCAACCAAAAGACCCCAATGTCGACCCGAGGCCTGCAACTCTAAACTCTAAGTCCCAAGACCCTCAAGTCTTTTGGGACCCTAAACCCTCAACCCCAAACCTTTTAAGGAACCGTAAGCTCCACAAACCCCCAAACCCTGAAACCCCTAAACCCTTAAGTCCCTAAACCCTTAAATCCCTAAACCCTAAACCCTTAAATCCCTAAACCCTCAAGTCGCTAAACCCTTAAATCCCTAAACCCTAAACCCTTAAATCCCTAAACCCTCAAGTCCCTAAACCCTTAAATCCCTAAACCCTATTTAAATCCCTAAACCCTACACCCCTAAACCCGAAACTTTAAGCCCTGAACCAAACACCAAAACCCTGAACTCTACGCCCTGTAACAAACCCTAAGCTCCAGAAGCCCCCCCAAACCACCCCAAAAAGTGAGGGCCTACTTGGAGGATCATGGGATTTATTAAGTAGGGCTATAAGTACCTTAATTGGGGTTACAAGTAGGTATAACTGTATTTACCTTACTTATAACCCGACACCCCCCCAAAAAAAGTGAGGCTTCCACAAGAAGTGGCTGGACTTCCAAGTCGCTTTGACACGAAGATGCGGAGTGTTTGCGGGTTCTTTAAAGGGTTTAGGGTTTAGGGAGTTAGAGTTTAGGGTTTAGGGTTTAGGTTTAGGGAGTTAGGGTTTAGGGTTTAGGTTTAGGGTAATAGGGTTCCTGTTAAGGGAAGGCTCCTCTAAGGGCTCCTTTAAGGGCCTATAAGGGTTCCTTTAAGGGTTCCTTTACCGGTTCCTTGAAGGGTTCCTTTAAGGGTTCCTTTAAGGGATGGCTCCTCAAGGGCTCCTTTAAGGGATCTACAAGGGTTCCCCTAAGGGTTCTTAAAGGAGATAGGTTCCTTTAAGGGTTCCTTTAAGGGTTCCTTTACCTATTCCTAGCCAGGGAACCCAATACAAGGGATATACCTTAAATTATGGGGCCTTAATATTATGACTTAAGGTATGTTAAGGGGTATTGGGATCTCTGGATATAAGGGTTCCTTAAAAGTTTCTTGGAGGGTCCTTCAAGGTCCCTTGAAGGGCTCTTTTAAAGGCTACACAGGATCCTTTAAGGTTTTACCATAAAGGTCTAGGGTTCAGGCATCACGCGTTCAAAGTTAAGGTTTCTTGGAGGAGGAACCCAGAATTCCTCTTCAGACCCTAAAGAAGGGCTTGCGATTCAAGCGTTTGGCTTTGGGTGTGGGGGGTTGTTCGGGTTTAGGGTTGAGGGTGTCTGGATTCCAGCATTCGGTTCTGAAAGACTGGGGAACTTACTTAGGGGTCGGATTGGGATTGGGACCACGTCTTCTTCAAGTCGCATTTGCGGAGCTCACGTTTTGGGCCAAAAGGTTTCGGCTTCATGGCGTTCTTGCCGCGTCGTCTAGTATGTCTCAGAAGCATTGCAGCTCTGTGTGTGTGAGAGATGCAGCAAACCCTGAACCCCGGGTGTCTGTAGTGGTTCCTTTAAGGAGATCTATAAGGGCTCTATAAGCGATCTTTAGGGTTTAGGGTTTAGGGGTTTGCAGGGGTTCCTTTTCTTTTTAAACTCCAACCCTTAAGCCCGAAACCCCACACCGCAGAGTTCTGGTCAATACAGAAGTCTGATAAGAGCCTTTCCTGAGCTTTCGAGGATCCTTTGAAGGAGACCATGTTACGAACCCAGGCCTCTGAGCGCCATAAATCCTACCCATATGGGAGTTTCCGAAAATAGGGGACCCTAATATGGTACCCTAGGATCCTTATTGTAAGGACCCCGAAATAAGGACCCCTAGTTTTCGGAAACTCCCATTTCAGGATCCCGCAAAGGAAGCCTCAAGGACACCCTTGAAAGGAATCCGAGCCCTTTAAAGGGACCCTTCAAAAGAACCCTTGAAGGGGCCTCTTTAAAGGACCCCCCCCCCCCTCCCCCCCAGGTCTCGGAGTTCGGCCGCGCCTCGCAGCTCCTGGTGAAGTCGCTCCACGAGGCGTCGGATGCCGTTTCGAGTGCGGAAACCCTACAAAACAATAGGGGCCCCTTTAAGGGATCTTTTAGGGTTCACGGTTGAGGGTTTAGGGGTATCTTTGAGGGATCTCTTGGTTTCAGGGTTGAGGGTTTAGGGGCCCCTTTAAGGGATCTTTTAGGGTTCACGGTTGAGGGTTTAGGGGTATCTTTAAGGGATCTTTTAGGTAGGGTTTAGGGGACCCTTTAAGGGATCTATAGGGGTTTAGGGTTTAGGGGCCCCTTTAAGGGATCGGAAGGGGTACTACAAGGGTTTAGGGTTCAGGGCTCTTGGGGTATCATGGGGCTTAGTCAGTATGGTTATTAAGTACCCTTATTGGCGTGATAAGTAAGTATACCGGTAGTTGCCGTACTTGTAACCCCAGATACTAGGGCCCATGATCCATTAAGCAGGGCTCCTTTACGGGCTCGGCTTTAAAGGTTGCCTCGGGGGCTCCTTTTGCACTTGTTTTAGGGTTACTATCAGGGTTCCTGAAAAAGTTCTATTAAGCGGTTTCTTCTAAGAGTTTTTAATGGTTCCTCATTGAAGGTTCGGGTTTTGGGTTTAGGGTTGGGAGGGGTGGGGTTGCAGTGCATCTGGCATGTATGAGTGGCATTCAGTAGCTGGGTATGAAACCCAAAGCTAATGTGATAAGGGAACTTTGTGAGTAATGTGTGTCATAATATCTTCATTGGAGTTCAAGGCAAGTTTTCCTCTAGTTGGCTTCTTCGTTACCCTAGTTACAGCCCCAAGAACCTTTGAGTACACCATGAGCCCTGAAATTGCGCGAGCACTGGCGTAAACCCTGAAAGATCCGAGCCAAACCCCTTCCCTTATTCACGCGCGAACTTCACCCGAAACGCTTCCAACAATTTTAAGCCTTAAGCCCTAAACCCTGAACCCCTAAACCCCTAAACCCCTAAACCGTGAATCCAAAGCTTTGCACATTATCATATATAAGCCCAACAAAAGACCTGTCGGCTGCACCTGAAGTTTCAAAGCCTCAACCCCATAGAACATCCAAGGCTGCCGCAGCAGGCAAGACTATTGACATGGAGGTGCCGTCTGGGTTCAGGGTTTAGGGTTCGGGGTTTACAGGGTTTAGGATGTAGGCAGGGTTTTGGGGCAGATCCGATGGGTCCAAGTACTTAGTAATACCCCCTAATTTCTCCGACTTTTCGGCTCACGGCCTTTATGGTTGGATCCTCTGCCTGCACTTTTAACTTACACGCGGCATCCTCTGCCGCCGCGTTTTGACCCAGATGCCTTCCGCACCCCTGGGTTGAAGACTCCATTTGGGAGTTTCCGAAAATAGGGGACCCTAACATAGTACCCTAAATGGTAGGATCCTTGTTATAAGGACCCCAGGATACGGTACCCCAAATTTTCGGAAACTTTAGTTAGCGGATATCCAGACGTGAAAGTTCTGCTTCAGTAGCTGGTCGGATTTCGGGGCTTCCTTTGTTCGGGAGGGCATCGGTTGATGTGGCATGGGTATTGAGACGGGCCAAAATAATTACCAATACTACTTTGGGGGCTCCTTATTATAATTCTGGTATAAGATACCCCAAAACCTATTCTGAGTGCCAAGGCCCCTACAATACGCTAGTATCTCAACCATTCCCTACTAATCACAGGTAAGTTCAGGGTTTATTGTCTAGCGACGCTGGTGTGCCTGATGTTGCCGATTCATAGAAATTGAGATGGTTGTCATCCATACATATGTGCATGTGTGCACAAGGAGGATAAAGGTGTGTCAGGTGTGTATATACATGTACACATGAACACATGTGTGTGCACTCATGAGTTGCACCACGACTAGAGATCATGCACATGTGTTTTCCTTCACTCAGACGGGTCCATCCATGTTCAAGATGTGTGTGTGTGTGTGTGAGGGCATACATGCACACACAAAGTGGGTTTGCCACAAGTGTGACTTTGGCCGGAAACTTGGCGTTTGCCTCTTTTGAGCTTTTCACTTCATTTCTAGGATTCCATACAGAAGCCCGTAGAGGAACCCTTATACTAGGTATCGATTTGGGATCATTTGAAAATCCTCCTTATTGTTAAATATAGGGCCCTAATTATAAATGATTTTGGGGACCGCCGAAATCGACACCTAGCATAGTAATCCTCGTAGTCCCAGAATGGCTGCAGAACAGCAGAACAGGAGCGTTTCGGCTCTGTCGCTTTGGACATCATCGGCAAGTCTGTCTTCAACTACGAGTTTGGCCCCTTGGCGCTTGGGCCTAGGGCTTAGGCTTTTGGGTTTAGTGTTCAGTTTCGTCTTGAACAGGGCCCAGATTCGCAAGATCTCCAGAACCATCCCAACATCTCCATAACAAGCCCGAAGGTGCTGAAGACCTAAAGCACAAGAGCTGCTGTAAGACCTCATCCCTCAACTCCTAAAATCCGAAGCTCAACTCCTAAAACCCTAAGCTCAACTCCTAAAATCCTAAGCCCAACTCCTAAAATCCTAAGCCCTCCAGCCCTAAACTCCTAAGATCCTTAAACTCTGGAAATTCCAAACCGTTTCAGCCCGAAGCTCCTAAGATCCTTAAACTTAACCCTAAACCCTAAACCCTTAACCTTAAACCCTAAACTCCGAAAATTCCAAACCCTTCAGCCTAGCCTTCTGAAATTTTTAAACCCTTCGGCCTCAGTCTCAGGCCTCAAAGGAACCCTTAAGAGAGCCCAATACCCCTTAATGAAGGAATATACCCTTAAATCAGTAGGGGCTTCATCGTATGATTTAAGCTATATTCCTTAATTAAGGGGTATTGGGCTCTCTGGGCCCTTAAAGGAACCCTTAAAGGAACTCTGGAGGGCAGCCAGCGTCTCAAGTGCTTGGGTGGGCCGAGGATCCGTGGAGGGCGAGAGCCCCGTGGTCAAAGCCGCGATCCAGTCGTTGAGAGAGGTGCCCAGAGACTCCAACATCCCTGAACTGTCTTGTGCTTCGTGGGAATGGGGGAATGGATCCCTGTAGTAGTCTCTATACAGTCCTCGACAATAGTCTCCTATGGGGTTTAGGGTTGAGGGGACTGCAATATCCCTTAATTAAGGAATAGTCCTTAAATCATAGCAGGATCCCAAGCGAGGGTTTAGGGTTAAGGGTTGTAAGGGTCTAAGAGTTTCAGGGTTGATAGGGTTTAGGTGTTCAGGGCTCACGTGGTTTAGGAGGTGCGACTGTCAGACAGTGACAACCAATATGGATGCAAAGTTTACGGTTTATGGTTTAGGGTTAGGGGTTTAGGGGTTTTTGGTTCAGGGTTTCTGGTTCAGGTTTTCTGGTTTAGGGTTTAGGGATAAAAAGGCACCACTGTTCTCTGAAACCTTCAGGTGTGGAGGATGGTACGGTTGATGGTATAAATCCTGCATTGCCTTAAGGACCCCAAAGTATGGGAATTATGGTATATTCCTTACTATGTTCCTTATTATGGGTAATGCGGGATTTATATCATCAACCGTATGTCTGTTAAGCCTGCTTACTCGTCACGAAAGACAAGCCTGCTGACATGAAGCAGGCAGCAGAAATTCAGTACACAAGTACCTTAACCTACCAAACCCTACTTTTTGTAGGGTCCCTATAAACTCCATATTAGGGTTTATAATGAGAACCTACAAAAAAGTAGGGTTTGGTAGGCTAAGGCTAAGGTAGTAACCAGACATAGTTTACAAGCTTTCGCTGGCGAGTTCTTCCGCCGGAGTTCGAATACGTGCAAAAACCGGCACATATTCAGGCCGTTTCATTATGTTTGTCGGTATGCATACGTACATGTGTGATTGTGTGCACGTTATGTACGAATTCACCGATGCACGCATGTATGTCTTCCCAAGCACGTGTAATCCTGCTCGTCTTTCGTATAGTGCATGTGGGTAGTTATCAAAATTATGGTCCCTTTTTGGGTCCTTATTATGATACGGCACCTAATGTTTAGGGAACCCAAAAAGGGACCTAATTTTGACAACTACCCATGTATCTATGACACAAGGTTTCTCGGAGTTAAGTCCGGTGAGAAAACCAAGAGACGATAGGATCCTTAAGGGAGGGTGGTTCGAGGGGGAGGGTATAAGGAATCCTTAGGGGACTGTAAGGGAACCTTAGGGAGTACTAGGGAGGATTAGGGATCACTAGGCTATGTACCCCCCTTGGACCCCCCTCCCTTAAGGATACTACAAGTCCGGCAGGTGGAGCACCGTGCCCAGACCCCTTTCCAGTACTGGAAGCTTCCCCTCATGGACGTGCTTATCGAGCGGCAGCGCGAGTTCACCGTGACTTGGGGGCATTCCTTGCTCATGCACCTGTCTCGTTCAAAGGTTGCTGAAAGCTTAGGCTTAGGATCGAGTGGTTTAGGGGTAGCGCCTCCCAGGTTTCTGGGCCGAGAAAGAGTACCTACACCCTAAGCCTGTTTTGCATGAAGCCATGGCGGCGATTTTCTATGCGTTTTTTCGGGGAAACTGCCAGCACCGGCCCGGCCCAGACAGCAAGATCCCTGAAAAGCTCCAAACAGTCCTGGCGGCTCCTGATTGTAAAGACTAGGACCCAGAGTAGGCCCTTATTCCCTTTTTTAGGGTTCAGGTTCCCTTATAATTCACTTTAAACCAAAAAGGGCACCCTTTTTATTCCTAGGCCACTCTTAGGTCTAGAAGATAGTAGAATCGACCCCCAAACCCATGTTCTAGTTGTTAACATCTAACTACTACGGCCCCTGAAGGCCTCCTTCCCATGTCAGCTACACGTGGGCCGGTGTGGGCGTTCGGGAAAGCAGACGAACACGTGTTGAATTGGGATTTCAATATATAGGAGCCCTGAATACTCAGACAGTAACTCAGTAAGCATATCCTCACAGTTATCTTACCCAATAGCCCTTTTCGAACCAGTAAGGTCCCTGTACTAGGCATTGTTGCTAGCAGAAAGCCAATCACAGTTCGCTAGTTTCCCGCAGAAGTGACTACGACTACGAATACGAATCTGACTGCGTGGCATGTGTCAGAACGGAGATCGCTACTACAAATAGTGCGATAGCAACTCACCACTAGTAGGATTGCCTGAAGATCATCCAAAGCAACGGCTATGGAAGTTAGACGTCGATGTGCCCGTCCGGCCACCATACCAGCAATGACAGACGACGCCGACCCAAGCGCCAATGACTAAGAACAGAACCTCTTGCGCATTCAGTCGGACCCTTACTCAGGACAACATGCAGCTGCTCAACGGAGCGCTAAACAAGTGCATCGAGCAGGCATGCTGTTGCTGAGTGCACGCCTCCGACTCTTCGGGTTTCGCATCTAGGGGTGTTTGTAGACACTACTTGGAGGGGCAGGGGACCTAGTACGTGGGGTTAGAAGTCGGGTTATAATTGGGGTAACTCCATTTAGGGTACTTATAACTCTACTTATGACCTACTTACTTAGTCCCCTGCCCCTCCAAGTGTGCTGTGCCTGGAGCTTTAGACACGAAGAACTTTGTGCTCGAGGTCCCTGCAGCTACGGGCTCCAAGAGCTTGCAGTGATTCAGGGGCTGTGTTCCAAAGGTCCTGTCTGAGTGCTGCAGAAGAAAGCCTCCTGCCTGAAACTTTAAACCCTGAACCCTGAACCCTGAACCCCTAAACCCCTCAACCCCTAAACCCCTAAACCCCTAAACCCTAAACCCAAAACCCTAGTACCTTCTCGGTGCCCGTAATCGGCACCAGCCCCTGTCCCTAAACCCTTTTTCCTACTTGGAGGGCAGGGGACTTAGTAAGTGGGGTTATAAGTAGGGCTATAATTGGGGTAACTCCATTTAGGGTACTTATAACCTACTTACTGAGTCCCCTGCCCTCCAAGTAGAGTCTACGGCATCTTCCGGCCTTCCTGTGCCATCGAAGATGTGAGAGACCACTGCTACTACTACTACTACTACTACTACTACTACTACTACTACTACTACTACTACTACTACTACTACTACTTCTACTTCTACTTCTACTTCTACTTCTACTTCTACTTCTACTTCTACTTCTACTTCTACTTCTACTTCTACTTCTACTTCTACTTCTACTACTACTGTTACTATTACGACGACGACGACGACGACGACGACTACTACTACTACTACTACTACTACTAGTACTACTACTAGTACTACTAGTACTACTAGTACTACTGCTACGGCTATGGCCCCGACTACGACTACGGCTACGACGACGACGACGAGGATGACTACTACCAAGAATACTTTGCGTAAGTCTTGTCTCTGTTTTTCTCCTAGCCCTGCACATGACTTCAAGTGCAGTGCTCTTTGATCGCAGCCGTTAGCTGCGAGGGCGCGGCCTCCCAGGCTTTGAAAGGTGCATAACAGCTTATATGGGTTTAGGGCTTCGGGTTTACGGCTTAGGGTTCAGGGGTTTAGGGTTTTTCGTCTCTACCAAGTTACATATTCTGATATACCCGGACAGCTACGTCCGAATCGAGCTTTAAAGGCATTAGGGCACCTATCTTTGGGCCACGCGATGTTCGATGTGGTTCGGCGGCTGGCTGCGCCTTGCCTCATGCGGTTCCGACTTGAGTAGCTGCTGCAGCTCCGAGAATGCAAACGAGGGCTTTGTTGAGACCCTGGGCTCTTGAGTAGTATCCGGTTTAAGGGTTCCTGAAGGGGGTCCATAAGGGCTCTGGCAAGGGTTCTATAACGAGTCTATAGGGGCTTAGGGTCTACCAGGTTCTTGAGTGGTTCCCTTGTTAAGGGTTCCTTTTTACGTATACTAGCCCCCAAAACCCTACTCTAATTATTGAGGCCCCTATGTTAGGCTAAGGTTATTGAGTAGTACCCTTTTGCCCTTTTCACGTTGGGGTCTCCCTTGTACAACAGATTATTAAGAACATCGGTACCATGATTATCAAGGTGTTACTGGGGAGCCTAGGACCATCAAAGCACTTCCTGTCTGTGACGTCAAGGACAATCAGAGGTTCTGGCTCGACTTACAGGGCTTCTGGTATCGAGAAACAGACAATCGCTGTGTTGGAGAGGTCTGTGAGAATAGGCTGGTCTGGCATGTGCAGTGGGACGTTTCGGAAACTGTTACGTCTCTGCAGGCAGTGACACAAGACACGGTCGTCTACAAGAGGGCGGGCCGCGTTATTTCGGGTGTTGTTTGCTGGCATGCCCAGCCATCCATTAGTTGGAATGATGGAGAGACTTGGTTGCGGAAGTGACCGTTAACGTATCACCCTTATCACCGTAGCTCCAGCCGCCTTGCATCGCTGCACGTACTGGCAGTTGCCGCTATGCCACGACCGGCACCGAGGGCATGAGTCGAGTGACTTTGAGGTGGCCGTCGCAGCCGTCTGCTGCCGACAAGTTTCAGTCGTGACATAGCTTGTTGCTGCTTGTTCCGCATGCAAGTCTGCGAAGCCGGTTGCATACTTGTGCACAGATGTCTCTCAAAGCGGAGATGTCTTTGTCTTAGATTCTGACGGACACCCAGGTTGGCTTGGTGAAGTGTGCCCGGACCACCATGTCGACCATGGCAATGACCTTACTTAGAGGAGGCAGTCCAATAAGAGCCATTCGTTTTTCAGAGGACCCCTAGTGCAAAAGCCGAAGATTCTTACGGCTCCTTCTTACGATGCCATATTTTAAGGTCCCCAACTCCGCACCACCGTCCTCGGTCATTAGGAGTTGTTCCGATTCTTATTCCCTGTGAAAGGTCAGAATACGCAGAAGAGATCGTTGACTTTGGAGCAATCCTTCCCTCAACTCTAAGCAATCTTACTTTCCCTCAACCCTAAACCCTAACCCTCACCCCTAAACCTCTACCTCAACCCTAAACCCCGAGCTTTAAACCCTCAGCAACCCTCAATCCCAAGCCCTCAACCCTCTCAACCCTCAAAACCCCGTGGCCTACACCCCAACAAAGCCAAAAGTCACCCGGGCACCTAGACCCCCCAAGTACTCTATTCAGGGGCATAAGGGATATTCCTTAACTAAAGGGGCCCTTAATAGAACCCTGTGTAGATCCCTTTTAGGAACCCCAGGTATATTCCTTAGATCCTTCTAAGGAACCCTTAGGTATATTCCTTAACTAAAGGGGCTCTTAATGGAACCCTTTCTAGATCCCTTTAAGGAATCCTTAAGGTATATTCCTTAACTAAAGGGGCTCTTAATAGAACCCTTTCTAGATCCCTTTAAGGAACCCTTAAGGTATATTCCTTAACTAAAGGCGCCCTTGGGGGGTCCTGGCAGGCTTTGGCAGATCGTGCGGAGGCCGACTTGGAGGACGAGCTTTCGGCTCTTCGTAGTGTCCCGGAGAGGTAGGGTTTAGGGTTTTAGGGTTTAGGGTTAGGGTTTTAGGGTTTAGGGTTTAGCGTTTAGGGTGTAGGAATGGGGGATGGAGTTTCGTATCGAAAGGGTGTAGAAAAAGGGTCGGTGGAGATTGCATACTTGTTCTGAAGCGTGCATTGGGGCTTTTCCCATGCTGCATGGGGGTTGTAAGGGGTGTTCGGGCGCTTGCGATGTGAGTTTGCGGTTTAGCAGGGTTGGCTTGGACGTTTATATACAGGGTCTGGGTTTACTCTCTTGGGTTTGTACGGCTTCCTTAGAGTTTGGATGACTGTCGCTTCCTTGCATTGTAGTTCTCCCAGTGGTGGCATCGGCGGAGGACCCGGTGACGGTGGCAGTGGTGTAGGCTGCAGTCCCAGCAATTCTGCATCGGTGGGTGGGCTTGTGTTCGTACGTTAAAACCGCCGCTTGGTCATCGATCCTTTCATTCATTGTTGGCTGCGTTCGCTCATCCATACAGCTATGCAATCCGGGGTTCATGCATGTCGGTAGGGGTTCGTCGTGTTTTCATTTGTTCCTTCGCTCCCAAAGTTTTTGCTAGTCGTGGAATGTGTAGTATCTGTCCTGCCCTCGACGCGTCCTCGTTACCACATTTTTGGGTTTGATGTTGCGGAGTGTGTTTGGGCTTCCTGCCCCATGCAAATCCGATAGTTTTCAGGTTCATCTTGCACTTGAGGTGCCGGTGTCGGGGAGCGGCAGCTCTACAGTATCCACACGCTAAACCCTACTTTTCGTATATATATATATATATATATATATATATATATATATATATACAACCCCCCCCTCCGGTACCTACCTTTTTCCGGTTCGTGTGCTTTTGGGTGTAAGTTTTCGGAATCTAGGTTGCGAAGAATACTGCACCATGTGGGTGCAAGTACGCCGTTGCCACCTACATTCAACTGCGTCTGCTGCATCATGCTTTTTCAGTATTCGTCACCCATGTGCCAGAAAGTGTTGTATTTGCTGCAGACAGAGCAACAGCAGACGTACATGAGACACTGGTGCACCTTGCCTACATGTGTATTTGCAGCAAAGGCAGTGGCATGTTCGCGCTGGCGCGTGCTCTGGGTAAAAAAGCCAGGATGTGTAACACAGACCAGCGGCTGCCTCTGGATCTGCAGGCGCGCTTATCCTGGCTGCTCTCCAACAGGCATTCAGATCTCCGGATTTGCCTGACTTTCGCTGCCCGGATTTGCCTCCGGATTCAAATCTCCGCTTGCTGGGTTTGCATTTGGACCTCCTCTCCCTCGTGATCGGTATTCTCCTGGGATTGATTTTGTGGCCTGTCTTTGAGCTGTTTTAGCTCTGGCAAAGCTACTTGAAGGCCCAGATTCGGGCCCGGCTGCACCGTCCCCCCTCCAAGCTCTACAAAATCCTTGAATGAGCCAGGGGGACTTTCAGGCTCAGCTTGATTCACTTTGCCGGCGCATTCGTGTGCTGGAAATTGAGGCGGGCCTAGTTGCTGCCCCCGAGGCCGAGGAGGCCGCTTCTTCGAGTGCCCAAGGGTACTCTGTTGTTTCGGCTGGAGGCCCAGCCGAGGAGCGCCAGAACGACGGCGTTCTGGGTTGGGATCGGCGTTTGGAGATCGCTCGTGATACTGGTAATTTCTTCCGTCGCTGCCTGGAGGGCAGGGATCGTCGAGGAGCTGGCCAAAACAAGATTGGCTTACCTAAGCGAGTGTACGTATTGGTCCGGGACAACGCCGGGCACACCTTCCAGGATCCCGTCAGGGTCTTCTTCCGCTTCAGTGACATCTTCCCTCTTGTCCAACATCAAGGTGGCTACGGCGACTCCATTTTTGCCGGGTTTGCTTCGCAGCGTGAGGCAAAGGAAGCCGTTCGTCAGGCAGGTTTGGTCTGGCCTTTGGACCCGCTACGATGAGCGAGGATGTCGTTGCAGATGCTTTGGCAGGAGCTCCCCCTCCGGGAGAAGCTGGCGAAGAGGATGCAGTGCTGGATGGCAGCGCCTTGTCCCCGCGAGATTGGTGTTTGGTGGGACCCGACGGCACAAACCTCGAGTTGGAGCAGACCTTCCTCGTCTTGGAGTTGCCGAGTGGGGGGGGGGAGGCAGCCAAGCTTGTTTCCGTAATTCCTATAGTAGTGGTTGGGAACAAGCTTCTCGTGGCACTCCCTTCTTCCGTTTGGCATCGCTCGCCCAGCCGACGTCTGCTGCCGCCAGGTGCCTTGGCAAAACCCGTGTTAGCCGCGGTAGCTGGACAGCCTGGGGAATCGCAGGAGGCTGCCGAGCTCAAGGTGTGGGTCGCTTTCCTTTCTTCTGGGGTCGAGGCTTTGATTCGGGAGCAGGCCGAGGAGGAGAACATTCCGCACGACTTCGAGGATGCTCATGGTCAGCCTGTCCGACCTCTTCCCGATGCTCTCGTTTCCCTCGGAGACGAGCACTTCTCTTTTCTTACCGCCGAGTCTGCTGCTCCTCCGGCTGCTCGTCATGCCGAAGGCGGGGCCTTCGAGCGACGGGTCACGGCACTGGAGGGCTCCCTGACCGAGATCAAAGAGTGCCTGGCCACTTTGGTTGCGGGGCAGAAGGCGGCAAAGGAGAAAGGGCCAGGCCGGGCAAGCGCCGAACAAAGGGCAGAAGCAAAGCCAGCAAAGGTGCAGAAGCCGACTCCGACTACAGGCCCACCGGGAGCAGGCATCGGGAACTTAGACCGGCAGGCCGTGAATGCGGCCCGTGCCGCCGGGATCTCCGAGGAACACCTGCAGCAAATGGCCGTCCTCCTCTCGTCCAGGCCGATGAGGCTGACCGACCTTCCGAAGGGCCCCAAGCGTCAGGGTCCTCTTTCAGAGAGCGAGGAAGAGGATGCCGAGGACGACGAGGATGCCGAAGAGTCTGGTTCGGGAAACCCGCCCGACGCGATGCAGAAGGCGGTGATGGAGCTGACCAAGATCGCCAAGAGCCTCGCTGGAAAGAAGAAGGAGCCTGCCGCCGACTTCGAGAGTCTGTTGTCAGGCGGGCTCGGGGACATGTCCGAGTCCAGTGCCGGATCATCCCGAAAGAATTCCGCAGCTTTGCTTGCTCTTCGGAAACTACTCCGGGAGCGACCGGCGGTCATCTACGAGGCCATGGAGCGAAATCTCAGAGAAGATTTTGGATTGCAGGAAGGGGTGCCCGGGGCGCCCGAAGGCCGAGCTACAGCGAGGGCTTGGTTGCAGGCGAGATCCCGAGTTCAGAATTACACGAACCATGTGAGATGGATGTGGCAACTGGCCGGCATCTGGGATTGCTTAATGCAGCAGCGGACCGAGGAAGCGCGAGCCCGTGTGGCTCTTCTGATGGGGGCGGGCGAGCAGAGCTCCATAGATGCCGGCAATTGGCTGGTGTCTACAGTCAGCCTGTTGGAGGGACCTCCCCCTTACTCCTTACCAGCAGTTCGCGCATCACTCGGCTCCGGCCGCCCACGAGTTGCAGCATTCGGCCCTTTACGATCCCCGTGGTTCGAGTTGTTTCTGTGGCAACTGAAGGAACAAGAGTCCTTCCAAGAAGCCCGCCGCAAGCTCGGGCAGCGTCGCCCCGGGACTCCCGGAGACGGCCGGAAAGACGAATCCGAGAAGGGCGACAAAGCTCCGAAGGCCGGCGCGAAGGGCAAAGCCAAAGCAAAAGCCACCGGTGCCGCCGACGAGTAGAAGCTGGAGGTGGACCCCAGGATGATGACAACGAGGCCCCCGGTCTCCCCACCTCCTTCAATGCAAGTTCTTTGTTGAATTCACTGCCCCGTCGGCTTCTTCGATTAGATAGTCCGCTGGGGTCTTTTGCCAGAAGCATCTTTAGGCAGACCGACCACACAAGGTCTCTTACCGCTATGCCAGCATCCGAAGTTTGGCCCATGCCTCCTCCTTACCCAGAGGCCGGCAGGGAAACCGGAGAGCCACCCGTGAGCCGGACGAGGAAGCGAGCCATGAACTCCATTGTGATTGCGCTCTCCTTCCTTCACCTGCGAGGGTCGTCTCAGGCCCCTTCCGAACTTTCAGTTGGGCGGAGGTTGAATTTTAGGCAGTGGGCAGTCGTTAGGCGACATGAGCGTTTGCTGGAAGCGTGGCTAATTCATCCGCAGATCACTCCTGACAATCTGGGGCGAAATGCAGAAAAGATGGAAGAGTTCGACTCCATCCTTGGAGCACTTGAGGCGATGCTGGAGGACACCTTCGGGACTGGATCTTACAACTGCCGCGACGGCGGCGGACTTAAGCCCGGTCACGAGCCACCTCCGGACATCGTCAAACTCGGAAAAGTAAAGTCGAACTTAGGTGCGACTTTCAAGAAGCTGGACCCGGACCGCATAGTCTTCACCGGCGAGCCTTCTTTTGATCCCGCCCCATACCTAGATCGACGGGGTCGCGAAATTTTTCTCCATCCACTTCGGCATGCTTTGCTTCCGTGGGAGTGCACCGTCCCGCTCCCCGCTGTTCAGGTCCACATAGCAGAGGGCAAGCGAGAGCAGTTCCTGGAGCTCCTCGACAGCAGCAACAGGCTCGCTCTTTTTCGGCCCGAAGAAGTGCGGCTAGATCACCTGTCGGGAGGGTTCGCCGTAGGCAAGGATCAGCAGCGAGATCGACTCATAGTCGATGCGAGGCGGCCAAATACCCTAGAACATCCCCTAGGAAGATGGATCAAAAGTTTGGCATCAGGTGAGAGTCTATGTCGAGTCGTACTTCTTCCAGACGAGAAGGCACTGTTTTCGGGGAACGATGTGAGAGATTTCTATCACCTATTCTAAGTTCCCAGAGAACGCGTGGCTAGGAACGCTTTCAACATGATGATTCCGGAGGCCCTGTGCCGACACTTGCGAGCGTATGATCCTGATCGACACGGAGGAGCTCGCGTGTTGGTCCCCGCCTTGAACGCCTTGGCGATGGGCGACACTCAAGCCGTGGAAGTAGCACAGACTTGCCATATAAGCCTCGCATGGCGCTCAGGTGCTTTGACCCCAGCCTCGACTTTAACATTGACCGGGCCTGCGCCTAGAGCTTCCTGCTTCGGTGGCATTGTGATAGATGACTTCGTATGTGCCGAGAAGGTGAAGATCGCTGATCACGACAAGGCGGTGCCCAGTGCCGGCGCTCTTGCTGCTGATAAGGTCAGTCACAAGTACATTGAAGAAGGGCTCATACCGCACACTGGAAAGGCCTTTCGTGATGAACCCCGGGCCACCTTCTGGGGTACAGACATCGACGGAGAGGCGGGCCTTGTTCGTGGCTCGCTGACACGGGCCATCCCTCTGATGCACGTGATCTTGAGGATTGTGAGCGCTAGGAGGGCCACCGTTAGCTTGCTTCAGGCGGTCGCTGGGTCCCTCGTCTCCCTTTTCATCTACAAGCGCAGGCTGCTCTCCCTTCTCTCAGTGATCTTTTCAGTGGTGCAACATCGGGAGGCTGACGAAGTGCTTCAGGTTGACGCCGAGCTCCTAGATGAGCTCATGCTTTGTGCTCTCCTGTTACCTCTGGCGGTGACGAACATACGAGCTTCTGTGCTCTCCGAGGTCTTCACCACGGACGCTTCAAGCTGGGGCGAGGCCGAGGTCAGTGCGAGCATCCCTGCTCCGATTGCGTACGAGAGTGTCCGACATGTGCTTAGGAAGTCTGTTTGGACAAAGCTCCTGGGACCGCTGAATGCTCGAGCTCGACTCCTGGATGTTTTAGCCCCGGATGAAGAGCTACCTGAAGGCAAACAGTTCCACATGCACCCTCTTTGGGAGGTGCGATGCCCGAAGTACAAGCTCGCGTGGCGGGCTCCGTCGGCATATCAAAGTGTCGGAGCTCAGGTCTTTTCTTCGGTCGGAGAGGCGCCAAGCCTATCACTGGCCTGAGAGCCGGGCCCTCTCATCAAGCCTGGCGCTAAATTCCTTGCTGAAGCAGTCGGTGGCTACAGTGATCGGAGGGGACGTCGTCAGTGAAGGTTTTTACGTGAACACCACTGTCAATCCCTCAGATGATCCCACAAGAGGAAAGGAGGTGAGGCCTCCCGATCTGGAATTTCCGAGCTGGTGGTCTAGCGCGGCAGGTGGGGACTTCGCTGCTTTCGACACGTGGCTTTCAGAGGCGGGGTACTGTCTCTCTGCCCAACTGGGGATTCCGGATCCTTCTGAACTGCTCGGTCCGGGCTCTCCTGAGGCCCTGCCGCGTACAGATGGGCCCGCAGACCTGAGGGACTCAGTGTCTATATCGCCGTTGGGCTCGGCTCCTCAGGGATCACACGAGAAGTGCTTTTCGCGAAGTACTGTGCATTCAAAGCGTTCGGAGCCCGAGCGCCGATGGCTGAGTAGCATCTTCAGTGAGAGGGCCATTCGGATCCTGCAGAGCTTCGATAGCAGTCTCTTTGTGTGGCCTCGCGATGACCAAGATAGATCCGGAGGACTACGCGAGTGGGTTTTCGATAGAGCTGGTTATCTTGATCTGTTCTCCGGGAGCCGCAGGGTTAGCAAAGTTGTTTCCATGACTGCTTCCACGTGGGCTCTCTGCCTTGACTTGAACGATGGCCCTCAGAGCGATCTCCTCGATGCGGAGCTTCGGGGAAAAGTCGAGGAACTCATCAGGGAAGGAGTTTTCAGTGCAGTAGGCGCCTCTCCTGCTTGTGGATCATTTTCGATTGCAATCGTGCCGTCGGTCCGCTCGGTCCTCTATCCTCAGGGACTGCCTCAGATGCGCGACAGCATGGGTGCCAAAGTCCTTGAGGGAAACTCTTTATCGAGGTGGCTCGCTACTGTTGTTACTCTGTGCATCTCTTACGGGCTCACTTTTTGGATTGAGAATCCTCTGCGGTCGTGGCTCTGGCAGCAGCCTGAATGGGCAGAACTTCGTTCTCGTGATGATTGCGGCTTTTGGGACGCCACCATGTGCGCCTTCGGAACCACGTGGAAGAAACCCACTCGGGTGTTCACTAACAGCATTCTCCGAGGCCGCAGAGATAGCTGTCCCGGCTGCTCGAATCACATTTCGCTGCGAGGTTTCTGCAATGCAGCGCTACAAGAAGCCATGGACTAAGGTCGCCGAAGCTTTTCCCCGGCATTTTGCAGAACTTCTGGGTGCCGCGACCAGCTGGCACTGCCTTCGGCCAGAAGATCGGCTCTGCAGTTTAGACGTGGCTAAATGCGCCAAAGTGTCAAACTTGAACATCGGAGAAGCGAGCCACCCTGGGCCCCGTGCGTCCTCCCGTTTCCCTCGAGCCCCTCGGAACGTCTCTTTGGACGAGGTGAAGCTAGTGAGTGCGCAAACCGAGCAGCTTCAGAGCAAAATCTGGGGGCGGTTCCAAAACTGGGTGACGACTAGTACTTCCATTGCTGCCAGCGATGCTTTCCTTGCGGAGCCATTGCTACTCTGTATCTTGGTTTCGGAGTTCGGCAGGAGTTTGTTTTATGCTGGGGAGTCTCTTTATCTTTTTCGGCATTTGATTCTCGCTGCGCTGAAGCACTGCCCGAGAGCCCGCCAGCATGTTTCTGAATGCTGGACTTTGGTTTCAAAATGGGAGCTTGTTGAGCCTCTTCAACACCGAGCTCCTCTTCCAGAGGTCATACTTCGGGCTATGGTGGCAGTAGCACTGCTGTGGGGCTGGGAACGAATCGCTGGCATATTACTTATTGCGTTTTGGGGAATCTCGCGACCTGGAGAGGCACTCAGATCTTTCAGAAGTGACTTGCTGTTGCCTTCAGATCTTCTCATCAAGGAAAATCGAGTTTGCTATCTCAAAATTTCAGCCCCCAAAACAGGGCGGCGAACCAAAGCTAGAGTACAGCACATCTCAGTGCACAACAGCGCGGTCCTCCCACTCCTGGAGCGGATCTTTAAAGATCTCCGGCCGAGTGAGCTGCTGTTCGCAGGGTCTCCCTCCTCTTTCCGACGACGTTGGGATGCCCTCATCGATGCACTACTGGTGCCGCGCTCTTTGCGACTCACGCCAGGAGGCCTTCGCGGCGGCGGCGCGGTGGCCGAGTACCACCGCGGCACTGATCTGGCGACCATTCAATGGAGAATGCGAATCAAGCACCAAGTCACGCTGGAAGCCTATCTGCAAGAGGTGGCGGCTGAGAACCTCCTTCTCAAGCTGCCCGAGCCGGCCGTCTCCCGAGTGACGGCCGCCGCCGCGATCTACGATCTCTTCTTTCTGCAATGTTCTGCGGGCCACCTCAGGGTCTCTGGCTAGTCCTACACTGTCATGAGCCGATCACGCTCGTGGCCTCTTAGGCCCTTGAGGTGCTCTTTTACGGGTGGAAGGTGCGAAGTGCGAACTTTTGTCGCTGCAGCTCTTTCGGCATTCTTTTCGAAGTGGCCGCTGATTGCACAGCTGCCTTGCGAACTTCGTCTTTTGCCGGCTGCTGCCTGCACCGCGTCACAAGACTGACTAGCTGTCGGATGCTGCGAAAAAGAATGAGCAGCTTTGTCCGAGCGCGAGCCATTGAAGGTTTAACATGTGAAGCATGTTCAACTGAAAACCCGGCCGCGCAGCTTTTACTATCCCGCCCGCCCACCCGTGGAAGGTGCGAAGTGCGAACTTTTGTCGCTGCAGCTCTTTCGGCATTCTTTTCGAAGTGGCCGCTGATTGCACAGCTGCCTTGCGAACTTCGTCTTTTGCCGGCTGCTGCCTGCACCGCGTCACAAGACTGACTAGCTGTCGGATGCTGCGAAAAAGAATGAGCAGCTTTGTCCGAGCGCGAGCCATTGAAGGTTTAACATGATGTTAGTTAGGCTAATTTCCGAAGTCTGGTAGGTATGGGCGTTGACATGCGAACGACTGGTGGGGTATTAGTCGGCATAGCCTTTTTCCATAGTATCTATGGTGTTGAGCTGCAAGGCGCCTATATCGGGTAAACATGAGTCAGAATAGCCGGGTTATCCAAGCTAGTACTAAAGCAAGGTTTTTACGAGGCTAGGCTGAGGTTCGCCAAAAAAGATGAATGTTAGTGGCAACTTCAAAACTAACGGTAGCTCAGCATCCTCTCGATGTGATATCAAGGTCACCATCATTGCTATTCCTACCTTTCTGTGTGTTGTTTAGCAATACTATAGGCACACACTTGGAGTGTTTTACGCTGGTACCGAGGTGGGGAAGTGCCCGACAAGCCGTAACTGTACAAACCTAAGTTCCCCAGTACTACACTCTTTTGCCATTTTTCGTTTTTGGGAAATCCATTATTCATCATCGAAACGGGAGTCGCAGGAATCTTCGTGGGGGCATGATCCAAGCGAGACTGCCCGAGGAATGTTTGGGCGAATGCAATTGGAGCAGAGTCGGCCCGATTCAAGTTGAATCGGCCCGATTCAACTGAATCGGGCCCCGGATTCAAGATTGAAGATTGAAGATGCTTGGAAGAAGTTTCCCAGGGATCTTCAATCTTCAATCTTGAATCCGAGGCCCGATTCAGTTGAATCGGGCCGATTCAACTTGAACCGGCGCCGGCAGCACGTACCACGAGTTACAATGGCTAACGGCCCAGGAGGCTAACTACTTCAATACGGTAAAGTTATTACTCATAGCACTGTCAGTACAGATAGGGCGTGCGGGCACAGATACGGCTTGCCAGGCACCTCCCCACCCTGGTACCACTCCAAACCAGTACACGTGTAAGCCTATAGTATTGATAACGACACCGAAAAGGTAGGTACCGGAGGGGGGGGGTACCATATATATATATATACACACACACACACACACACATATACAGAGAGACAGACCTAAACAGTCGTTTCCATGTGCAGGAGCTGGAGAATCGTGACTACACCAAGATTCTCGGCTTCACGGGTGTCAGGGTCATCCGAAGCCAACACCCAACCCCAAGACGTACGGTTGATGACGTAAATCCTGCATTACCTTAAGGACCCTAGACTATGGGAATTATGGTATATTCCCTATTATAGGTAATGCAGGATTTATAGCATCAACCGCACGACCCTAAACCCTTCAACCAGAACCTCACTCCCTCAAGCCTAAAACCCGAAGGCCTGGTCCCTTATGCCTGAACCGCAAGAGCTTCCAACAAAATCCCAACCTACGCAAGCCTTCGCGACGGTTTGGGATCTGCATGGAATCCTATCTATCCACCTCTCGCAGCTAATGTAGGTGCCCTGTCTAGGATGCCCAGTAGTGCCCTTATTCCCTTTTTGTAGTCCTAGGTTCCCTTTAATTGTTACTTCGAATTTTGTTAAATGGTGTTTTTCGCCAGCCCGGGGATTGCGTTGCGAGTGTGATCAGGGGTTGCAGACATGAAATCGCAGACGTGGTACATGAGTAAGGTTCCACCACTGCCCTCCTGTTTTCGTGATGCAGTTTAGCCAATATAGGGGCCTGAACCACTACCTGTACTGTTTTGGAGGCTCCTTTCTATAGATACAATTTAATGGGCCCCTCAACCCTGTTCTAATTATTAAGGCCCTTCTATTATGGAGCCCTTCTATAGATCCCTTATAGAACCCTTTAAGGATCCCTTTAAAGGAGCCCCCAAAACCCTATTCTAATCATTAAGGCCCCTATAGTACACTCGACGGCCGAGACCTCTGGGGTGAGAAAAGGTAAGCAAGAGCGCGCCATCGTCGTAAAAAAGGGGCCTTAACAATTAGAATAGGGTTCCTTTTTAGGGTTCCTTGTAAGAGGGGTCTATAAGGGTTAGTATAAGGGCTACTATAAGGATTTAGTGTAGGGGCCTTAATAATTAGAATAGGGTTTTGTAGCCCATCGTATTAGAATTCTCTCAAGGAGCCCGCACAAACTAGTATCAGGCTCCTATAGTACACTCGATGGTCGAGACCCGTGAGGTGAGAAAAAGGTAAGCAACAGTGCGTGCGCCGTCGTAGATCTTTGAGGTCCACCTGTCAGCTTCCCGCTGTGCTCAGGACGCTTAGCCTTCACTCTTTGGGATATTCGAAACCCCACTGTAGAAATCCTTCAAAGTAGCCCGTGAAGAAACCCTTGACAAACCCTTTCAGGAACCCTTAAAGGAATCTGTAAAGCAGCCCGGAAAGAAACCTTAGATCCCTCAAAGGAACCCTTAAAGGAACCTCGAAGGAAGGACCCTCCCAGAAGCCCTTCAAAAGCCCTTAACAGAACCCCAAAAGTAACCCTTCCAAGAACTCATGAAGGACCCTTGAAGGATAAGGCCCTAAAGCCCTAAACCCTAAAACTCGAACCCAAGGATGGAGAACCCTTCCTTACTGCGATTTCTCGTGGACATGAAAGGACTGCCAAGCAGAAACCTGCTCGGATTTTTGGGGCTTTAGGGTTTGCAGGTTCAGGGCTTACGGGTATGGCAGTTTAGGGGGTTTCGGTTTAGGGGTTTTGGTAGTTTAGCGGGTTTCGGTTTAGGGGTTTTGGGTTTGGGCGTTGCCAGGTTTGGGATTGGGAGGTTTAGGGTTTAGTTCGGGTTTCGAGTTGAGCGAGGGTTTCGGGTTTGAGGGTTCAATCGCTAGAAGCTCGAAAGACCCCTAAACTCTGAATGGCCGGCCTTTCAGGTTCTTCGATGAGGATTGCAGAAGGGATTTAAAACAGGATTTCTGGGCCGCGGCTCCAAACAGAAACGCCCTAGACATGGTTTAGGATTCGGGGCTGCGGGATGAGAGTTAGGTCATTGGGTAAAGGGTTTCCGTGCGGAATCAGGTGCAAGGCTGGGCTCTTTGGTTGGTTGCTGAAGGCCCTAAACCGGAGATCCCGAAACAACCAAGTGTGAGTTGCTCAGCATTTTTATGTGTGTGTATATATATATGTACGTAGTATAGGAATAGCTAAAACATACAATACGAGTAAATGTAAGTAGTTAAACAAACAAGTACCCTAAACGCTAAACCCCAAGCCCACGCGTCCTAACCTCCAAGCATCCAAAGCCATGCAGGAGAGGCCACATCCGGAAAGCAGCTGCGAGACGACATGATCACGATGCTGATTGCCGGTCATGCTCCTTGTCTGCGCGCTGTTTGGGTTTAGGGATTAGGGTTTAGGGCTCCTTGCCTATGCGGCTCTTGGGTGCATTTTTGCTTTTATTTTTTTTGTTCGCCATTTCAGTTCACTTCTGGGGGGAGCAGAACTGTTCTCAAGTTTTTCAGCGGAAGCCTCCGACTATGGAAATCGTGAGCCCATGAACTTTAAAGCTGATATGGGGGCCTGCATAATTACCAATGCTATCTTGAGGTTCCTTATAATAACAGTAGATTATTGTACCCCAAAGCCTATTCAAACTATCAAGGCCCCTAAATTACACCCCTCCAACCCTAAACTCAAAGCCCGTGCCTTGCTTCAACATCTCTAAGCTTTCAAGGCTGCGCCCAAACCCCTACAAAGTCCAAGGTCCCAAACTGCAAACCATAGTCCTGAGTCCCAGGGTTCCGAACGGTGCGGTGCAAATCTGCTTTTATTTTGGAGCTTAGGGTTTAGGGTTTACGATTTGGGGTTTAGGGCTTAGGGTCTACGGTTCAGGGTTGAGGGTTTCAGGTTTTTGTAGGGTGGAGCTTTTCATTAATGTACCCGCCGATTGCTGCCGATTACCACGGAATCCAGGTCCCCATGTCCAACGCGAAGCGCCGTCCTGTAAACACTAAACCCCAAGACCTAGAACCCTAAACCCCTAAGCTTTAGCTGAGAGGATTCCCTACCGAAGACTGGCCCTAAACCCGAAACCGCTAACCCCAATTATACCCCTACTCCCCTAAACCCTTAAATGCCCAAACCCCCCTAGACCCCCAAACCCCCCCAAACCCCCAAACCCCTAAACCCAACCTCCCAGCGTCTCCGAGGAGACGACGGCATCGGCCCTGACTTGGGGACTCTTTGAGTTGGCTCAGCGGCCCAGCTGAGTTGCCTCCCTTCCGTTTTAAACCGTTAGGGTTTAGGGTTTGGCCCTTGCGTTTTCAATTGTAAATGCTATTACTGCGTAGGGTTTAGGGTTTAGGGTTTTGGGGTTTAGGCTGCAGAGCGAGTGCCTCCGTTTTGTAAAGTTAGCCGATAGAGTAGGGTATAGGGTTTCGGCGGGTTTAGGGTTGAGGGTTCAACGTTTAGAATTTTAGGGTTTAGGGGTTTAGGGAGTTTAGGGTTTAGGTTTAGGGAGTTTCGGGTTTCACGAGTTTTGAGTGCTATGATGGTGGATACCGGTATTTCTCATGAGCTCTTGTTGGCACCCCTTGAGGCTAAGGGTTTAGGGTTGAGATGCTGTTGGGTAGTAT